ATCGCCGTGGACTGGAACTTGATGTCGCGGCACACAATGCCGCGCACGAGGCGAAGGAGCGAGCGCCGAGTGAGGACAAAGGCGTGGCGTTGCGTAGGCGTGCGAGCGAGGTGCTGCTTGGGAGCGTGCTGCTTGGGGCGGGCCATGGTCAGTCGATTTTCCAAATGAGAATGCTCGCAGGTGCACTCGAGCTGCGTTGGACCTGTGCCCAAACGGGTGAAAATGAAAATGAAAATGATGACACCACCACTCAACACCAATGCCTCTATGACATACAGGAGCTTGCTACTGCTGCCCTGAGCGCAATATTGTCATGGCAAACCCGATCTACGAAGGTACCCACAGCGCGTCAACAGATATACTGGTGGATGCTTGTCGACGTCGACGATGCTGGTAGAAGCAGCCACCGAAGGCCCACGCAGCGAGCGACGACAACGCACGTTCATGTCGGCGCCACCCACGACCTATTATGTACGTGCTCTTGCCGTCGATAGCACGAGAACAGCGCTCTCCAGTCGTCGCAGGACCCCGAATCCTCGTGCGATCGACCACTTCTGCCAGACACCACAGAGTGCCACCACAAGTGGGTCTTAATAGTGAAGAAGACATTCTCGACCCGCAGCTGCAGGTCTTATACCTTGGCAGCAGCCCAAGTAGCGTTGCGTGGTAAGGTCTAGAAGCGGAGTTAGGGGATATGCGTCGACGATCGCCGCTGCCCAGCATGAACTGTTGATGGGCATTTGGATCGAATTTGAATTTACCACATAAATCACACGTCGTTTCACAATTTACCACGTGCGGGTGGAAAACCCCGCAACAGGATCTGCGTATTTTGCATGGGATCCAAGCACAGCGTCGTGAAGAAGACCGAGCCCAAGCCGCGCCTCCGCTCGCCCGACGAGCGCGTCCAGCAGCTCGAGCAGACCGAGGCCGCGCTCGAGAAGGAGCAGCGCGAGCGGGCGCCTGAGGTCGAAGCGCCCCCGAGCCAGCATGAGACCAAGCTCGAGTCGTACTCTGCTCAAGTCGCGGGCATGCAGAGCTTGGACGAGGCGGCAACCGTCAGCTTAACGGCCGACGTTCGGCGCCTTGCAGAGGACCGCGCGTTGCATGTGATGCAGCAGCGACTCAACGCGGTCCCGCACGTCGATGACGCGACCTTTGAGCCCATTCCAGGACCTCTCCACTTTGACGAGCGCGACTTTCCGTTCATGCGGCTCACGCCCGGTCGGCTTCGGGACGGGACGCTCGTGCTGCGCATCCAGCTCGAGTTCCCATTCAAAAACGACGAAGAGGCTCGACTGCGCTTGAAGCAGACCCTGGCCATCATGCACGCGTATGTCCTTGCATTTGCCTGGACCCATGCCCAACGTTTTGTAGGCTCGATGGCGGCGACGGTACGCTCCTGCGGCTCATCGGTGGCTGCGACCTCGACTCGGACGACCCGATCGCGTACGTCGAACACGTCACGGGCATTGGCCTCAGCACGTACCTCATGAACCAGCAAAACGCGACGTGGGCCGAGAAGCTCTGGATCGCGTCGCAGGTCGCCAAGGCCATTGCGCACATCCACAACGTCGAGTGTATGCACCGCGACGTCTCGTGGTCCCGCATCTTTGTCGAGGCGACTGGCAACGTCACGGTCTTTGCCAGCTTCATGCTGCGCCAAGTTCAGGCGTACGAGTCGTACCTCTCCTCTGGCATCGCGGAGCACCGCTGGGGCGCCCCCGAGACACTGGCGACGGCTGACGGCAGTGCCACAACGTCTACAGACAAGATCGACATCTTTGGTCTCGGTCTCATTCTGATCTCGCTCGTCACCCGAGACCTCCCGTTCACGTACATCATGAAGCGCTCTGGGCGGGGGGGTCCCATCGATGACGACCTCCTCGCTGCCCGACTGGTGAAGCGCGAGACGGCGATCCCAATGCTGACGCAGCCGTTTGAGCACGAGTGCGAGTGCCCGTCAAAAGAGTACAAGACGCTCGCGTTTGAGTGCATCACGTACGACCCCGAACGTCGGCCGACAGCGCCCGAGGCGGCTCGCCGGCTCGAGACGATCCGCCACGCGTACAGCGGAGGGACCATCAAGACGCCCGACAACGCCAAGGTCGACCTTACGATCGAGCTCCTCAAGACATCTGGGGTGCTCTACGTACCGGATTTTGGGGACTCGTACGACATGTGGTGCGAAATCAAGATCGACGACGGGAACTACTACCCGATCCAGCTCGAGCCCGTCACCGGTAGCGCCGACCATCTCTTCAACCAGGAAGCGACGCTGAAGGACATTGAGCCGCTCTCGCATTCGGTCAAGCTGGTTCACAAGACATCACCGACCTTTACGAGCACCCAGACGATCGGAAAGGTCTCGATCCCGCTCATGGACCTCCTCACGCTCGAAGACAGCTTGACGGCATTGCGCAAGAAGACGTTTGTGATCTTCAAGGAAGGTGACATCGTCGGTGTCGTTGAGATTGCTGTGCGGTTCGGAGCGCGCCTCCGCGGGTATCTCGAGCTCTTCGAGCGGCAGACGACCGAGCACTTGCGCAACAACACCGAAGACGGGCAGTCGACGCTCGATCTGCGCAAGAAGCGCGACTTGGCGGCCCAAGCGCTCGGGCTGCCCTCGCTCATCAACACCCGACGCCCTACGCCCCGCGAAGAGATCAACTTTACCGGGGTTGTCGCCGCCCTGCCGCTCAAGCATCCAGTCAGAATGACACCGAATGTACCGTCATTGGCGGGACTCACGGCATCGGCCAAGCGGCTCGAGACGGTTGGTCGAGAGGTATACATGCACTGCAACCTATAAGAACTTGGTTAACTTTGGTTGCGCGTAGTTGCGCCTCCACACAGCTGCAAGCAACGGCGAGCTCGATGAAGTCGACGCGCTTCTGAAAGAGAAGGTCGATCCAAACTGCAGTGAGAAACTGGTACGTGTTCCCTTGCTCCGTCAACAGTGTTCCATATACAATAACATTTAGTTGGCTCGCACACCCCTTCACAGTGCAAGTTTGCGGGGCAATGTGGCCGTCGTGAAAAGGCTGCTTCAAGCCGACGCCAACATCAACGCTTTGGAAGCGGTACGATCTCGCCATGCCCGAGTTCCAATACGCAATCGATGTTGTGCGTAGAACGGCTGCACTCCGCTGGACTTGGCCACACGTGCTGGTCACCTCGACGTATGTGCGCTGCTTCAAGCCGCAGATACGTCGTTTCAGAGCAAAGTACGTCGTCTGTTCTTGTATCGAGATAGCTCACTAGCGTTGTCTCTTGTAGTCGGGTGGAGCAAAAGGTACCAAGTTTTGCCCTGAGCCAAACATGCCTTGAGACGATGCTCGGATCTTTGTTGGCATTTCATTGGTATAGTAGTATAACATTGAGTAGCGTATTCACCTTGCTGGATTGTTGCTGTGTATCAACTGCGTTTCGCTCTTTCAACTTGATACTAATGGGCTCGTCCAGTGTTGTTTTCATTTTCAATTTATCAACTAGCAACCTGTAGCTACCAAGCGCACTGCAAGCAAGAACGATGGTTGACTGTCGTCAGCAATGCAAGTGCCAAGACGGACTCCGATCTTGATGGAGCAAACCGTCTTCAACAAGCCGTCGACTTCGTGCGACGAACGCACCCAAAAGCTAGAGCTAGAGCTTGCTCGTATGAAGGCTCTACTCGGGCAGGAGGATGACGTCGATGCACCCGTCCGCCAGCACGAGCTTGAGCCTGATTCGCGTTTGCCCAGCCATTCGCTGTCAACCACGACGACGCTCGGCGAATGAGCGCATTGTTTCTCATGTAGCAGCGCCTGCGCGCAGGCCCAAAATCGACGATGCAGCCTTCCAGCCCATTTCAGGTCCACTGCACGTCAGCGTTGTTGCCATTCGCGTCACACACACTTTGTCGGCTTCACGACGACACTCGTTCTACGCGTCCAGCTCGCAGACGCCCGCAAGGGCGATGGATCTGCGTCTGCGCTTCAAGCAGCATCTGGACATCATTTGAAAGAGCCGAACCAACCTCATTTGCATCGCACTAGTAACGACATGTCTCGCCGTCCCTCGCTGTCTACCCACAGAAACAGCGACTACCGGAGCCTCTGCTTCCATGGTTAGAGGTATAGACCATTTACATAACGTTACAGAAGCTCCGACTTCATCATGGACGGGATCACAGACCGCGCAAACGGAAGCAAGTCCTTCTCCACGAGGTGGGCAAACCGCTTGGTGATCTGCGGCAGCTCGGTGAGGTACCGAACGTTAGCGATGCGCACAAGGCACTCGCAAAACTGCGCATACGACAAGCACGTCACCGTGTCCTCTGCGATAGATGAGCTCTAGAATCAGAAAGATCGACGTACTGTCTTTGGCAAAACAGCACTTTTGTATCATGAGGAGGAGGTCGTCGCGTGTCAGTAGTGGTGTCATGAAATTGCAGTCGCTACGTCGTTGTTATGTCCTGCCGCAAAATGACGAGAAAATACCCTGCAAATGTGAGAAACACGGGCAGCGCGAGGCTTTTTCCTGGTGCCAGGTGCTTGTAGACGCTCTTGAGCACACGTCCATGGCTCGTTGCCGTAAGCTGCAGCATGTTGAGCTCCTTGGTATTGTCCTACATTGGAAATGTGCAAAATGGGTGTTTCTAGCTTTGGTCGACCGGTCCGACGAGGTCCATCACATTCATTTTGAGCGACTTGACAGACCGCTTGTCGTTGAGGGACGTGACGATTGGTAAGACACGTAGCAATTCGTCGCGCTCCGTGAGGTACTTGTTGGCTTCCTTTCGCAGCACTTCTTTGTCGCGCTTGAGCAGCGAGATCTGATGACGTGTTTTTAGACAATGCCATTTTTGCTTATGACAACCTGTGCACGGAGCGTGTGGATGTGGCTCTGAGCGCCTTCGCGCTGCATGGCATCTACGATCGCTTGCTGGCGCGCCTTTTCCTTGTCGGCAGACAACGTCGCAATCATCTCGTCTTTTTGAGCGAGGGCGTCGACATGCAGCACTTCCTACACGCAACTTTGATCTCTTTAGGACCCTCGTGCAGTTGACTACAGTCTGGTGCAATTGCTTGAGCTGTTCATTGCAGTTTTCGAGCTCGCGCCGCAGCGAAATGTCCTCGGCCGTGTTGCGTGCAACGAGCACCTCGATCGCTTGCGCTTGTTTCTAGATAAAGTGTTGAATAAATATCGAGCATCGATTCGGATCAAAACGACTCTGATGATGGCCATGGCCCGCGTCTCGCGCTCTTCTGAGGTCATGCACAGCCGCGCCGCTTGCTCCATTTCTCGTTCTTCCAGACAGCGCATGTCGGCCAGCGTTTTTTCCATCGCGATTTTGGTTGCCATTGCAATCTTGGTTTGCTCGGACGACCGATGCGCTGCCTCTTCTGCGACAATGCATTTTTCCTAAACAACTCACCATGAAGTTTCCATCGCATCGTTAGACCACGGTAACCTTTTGGTCCACAAGCTCTTCGCGGTAGTCTTCGACCTGGCGCGCTAAATCGACGAGCAGTGCGGGTCGGCACGCTCGGTGCGTCTACGCATCCATCGATATTATAGCCACCAGCTTGGGCAAGTCTACGGACAGGAACGTGCATGCGGCAAGCGGTCTCGCATTGCAGGGCCGAGAGCTTGGTGACAAACCGTCCGTCACGAAAAAATTTGGACGGTGACGCGTTCGTGTAGCGTGGTGACCGGTCGGCGCTGACGAGGCCTCGTGTCCACGAATCATTGCCGAGTGTGACGTCGCCATTGGCCAACGACGGAAAGCTACGCGCCAGGATCAACTGAGATATATCACTCGACAAAAAATGATCGAGACCGTGGGTTTTGAAGCTGGGGACTTGGTGGCGCGTCCTTGGCCTTCAGCTCACGAGGCGTTGTCCTTGGGCTCGGCGCAAGTCGCCGGGCTCGGTCGCGGTGGTACTACCAGATCATTTTGGACTCGGGGTCAATGTGCCGCAGCGCATCCCATGACGGCAGTGGCTGGTTTTGCCAGGACACACCAAGAATCGCTGTAAAGTACACCTCGTCATCGTGGGCACCAATGATAAACTCGCACACGAGGCCTACGCTTCGTCGTCATCAAGACCATAGTTAAGGCAGCGTACGTACCTTGGATACGCTGGGCCCGCGCGCCTTTGCGACTGTTGATGGTGGTTGCAAGCGAGGTTGCTATGTGCTTCATGCGCATGATGGGCGACACGATCTTGGCTTCTTCCGTGCCCAAGGAAACGTGAAAGTTGAAGGACGCTTGCGGGTTGTTGAAGAGGTGGTGCCGCTGGTCATTCACCGAGGTGCTACTGTCGGCCATGACGCCGCAGCCCTACCCGACATGACCACATGTTTACGTGACACAATATGTACTTTGGCCAAATTGTAGCGCTTGGAATACTGCGCCAAGAACGCCTCGCACATGCTCGGGCTCGCGGTTTTGCCGTCGTCGCTGACGATTGGCAGCGAATACGATACAATATACCTACACGCAGCGTTTGGAAATGACGAAGGGATCGATCAAGGTGACGACCGCTTGTCATCGAGAGGTTTGATGTAGCGCTGCAGACAAAACGGCGGCACCGGTGGGTCCAAGCTCGAGTCACTCGCGATCATCGGCGCCACCGCATGCGCATTCATTTGTGTACACAATGTCTATACACTTTTTCAATATACATGCAACAGCCTATCATACCTCGAGTTGCGCACGCGAAATCAAGTGCGACGTGAACCCAAACCGGCAAATGGCGACCGGCGCGTCCCCGACATGACGGCTGCCGAGTGCGTCCAAAATCGCATTCGGTGCCACGTGCTACGTCCATTTTGCATCATTTTTCATTGCATTTGGTTGCATACATGCGTGGCCTTTCGTCGCAAGATGCCGCTCGCGCCAGAGTGATACCAGAGGCTCGGGCTCCTACACCCATCATGACGCAAAACCCAAACATCGATGACGCACCCCGTGACGGGACTCAGAAAGATCGTGTCGGGCAACAAGAGGTGCACAGGCGTCGTCATCTACGCGCCAAGTTACTCATAGCCAAAAAAAAGTGCGAAAAATGACCTCGGCAACGGGGCAAATCGCTTGGAAGAAGGAGAGCCAGTGCACCGCGCTGTCGACCACCGGCAGGTCAGCTTGCAGCGACTCGCGGAACCGTGTCGGGCGCACGGGGCTCACGGTTGGCGGCTGCGGCGCCGCGTACCCCGGCTTGGGCGGCGACGTTGGCAGCATCCACGTCTAAAAATAGATTTCTGAGTTCCTCCCATACTTGATATTGCCCTTTGCACCCAAAGTTGCACAATATTGTCTGCATTTGGCGTCCGGCGCTGTGGCGATATTGTCGGGATCGCTGTAGTCTTATCTAGCTAGAATTGGGTGCATACACCAATTCTTGCGTCTCCAAGATATACAGAGAGAGGAAGAATCCTTCGTGCTCGATTGCTGCGTCGTCGAGCGGACTTGAATCGAGAATCGAGATGCTCATATTTTAGCTAGTGAACCTTTGTACGGGTTGCACTCTTCTTCTTTTCCCATTGGTGCTTCCACGTATGGCGAACGCAGCGACGCGAGATCCAGCGCTTCATTTTGCAAGGGCCTCGTCAGGCTGGATGCTTGCCTTTTAAAATGAATACTCGTCCAGTCGACCGCCTACAGGAGCGACCCACAACCCCGTTGCAAGCAGCTATAGCATGTACATAGTCGCCATCAAGTAGAAAGTCCGGTGGCCACTGTGTCTTTGCCAGTATGGCGGGTCGCTCGCCATGTTAGCTTGCTCCTCCGATATCCAATCCGCCAACGGAAACCTCTATCTATGCATAGCATACAATATGAATTGTGAGAGGTACTCACCACCGCAGCGTGTTTTATTCCCAAAGAGCAATGGATTACGGAGGCCTGTTGCCGACGCGCCCGACCGAGGAGCTCGACCGGACGCCGGCGGCCGTTGCCGAGCGTGCGCAGCTTGCGATTGCCGCGCCGGGCGTGCGCCCGTCCTTCCGCCGGGTCGGCCGCTCCATGAACATTGCGCGGACCCTCGGCGAGCGCGAGGCAGGGCTATCGCGCCGCCAAGCGTTTCCGAGCGAGACGATCTGGGCCGAGAACGAAGCCTCAACCAAGGTTCGCCGACCGCATGGCCGAGCGCAGACACCTCATGGCGTATGTAGCACGAGTGCGCGTACTTTGACATGCCACCGACGACCAAGTCGGCCATCTCGATCGCATTTAGCCCCGACGGGTACGACGCTGCTCGCGACCATGTATGCACTGGCGCCGATAGGAAGACGTTTGCATCGACGCACGGCGACCACACGGTCAAGATCATTTGCTACCGCACGGGCAAAATTCTGCAGGTACCTTGGTCCACGATGAGCGAGAATGCACCGTGGCATGATGTGCGTAGACGCTCGTGGGCCACCCGCGCACGCCGTGGAGCGTCAAGTACCACCCGACCAACCCGCGCTACGTCGCGTCCGGCTGCCTCGGCTTCCAGATCCGGTATGTTTTTCAACTGGCGTGACATTGCACTTAGGCGATCGTAGGTTTTGGGACGTGTACTCGGGCCAGTGCCTCTACGAAGCGACGCTGCGCCACGCAATCATCTCTGTCTCGTTCCACCCGTCGGGCAACATCATTGGCATTGCCAGCGGGACATGTGTGTACACGTGGGACTACCAAGTAGGCATTGCTAGCTTGGCTTTGACGCGTGATGAGATGTACCGATAGCACTCGCTGCCGCGGATAGCCATGTTTAGCTACCAAACGTTGCGATCCGTCTCGTTCCTTCCGGACGCCAACAAGCTTTTGATTGGCGAAGCCAACGAGAAATATGGGGTTTGTTTGTCTATTTCCACTTGCATTTTCATGATTTGTTGTCTTTTACGTAGCGTCCGCTGGGCGCCGTGCCCGCCGACCTTACCGTGACGCTGACAATGTGGGACTACGACCCAATGTGGTCAACGTCGGTCGAGCCGATGGCGACCCGCGCCATGTTCAATGTACGCATTCAGTTGCTTTTGGCTCGACTCGGAGGTGAATACTATGCTAGCCCCGCGTCCTGCTGTCCCACGCACTTTTGTACAACGACGGCGGCTTTGACATCTCCAAGTGCGGCCAATACCTCGCTGTCTGCACCGACTACTCGCTCTGGCAAGCCGAGCGCGAAGCCGAAATGGACTCGCAACACGACGTCGACGAGATCCAGCAGCGCGCAGCCGCCGTCCCGTACGTCTAGTTGCTCGTCTGGCCCGTTGACATGGCTGCGAGTAGGCCCTCGGTGCCATCACCGCAGCCCCACATTCTAGAAAACGTGGCGGCCTCCGAGATCCTCTCGCTGTCGCAGCTCCGGCATCAGTCGCACCGGTTCTACGTTGTGCAGTCGTCCTCGACGTATACAACAACGACGTCTAAAAGCTGCTATAAGGACTCCATGAGCGTAGGGACCAGTCTTTGCAAGGCCACTTGCGCCGCCGACCGGGCACGCCCGAGCAGTACACCACGCGCCGACTGCGGCAGCGTACCGGTATCGACAAGTTGCGTTATAACGAGTCGTAACCATGAGTCGACTAGATTCCCAGCACGCTCTCCGACTGAGCTTGGAGACACCGTCCACGACAACGACGAATGACGACGCGGCGTCGACGGCCGTGCCATGCCGCGTGGCCCAGATCCGGCCGCATATTGCGTCGAGCCGCACGCGGCTCTCAATGACGCAGCGCGCCCAGCGGTATACATCCATATTGCAAACGTATCGTCGCATAGTAAGGTGCGGTTAGGGGACAACTGGCGCCGCACTACCAGTCGACATGGCTCGCGCTCATCTCTCTAAGTGACGAGACCTTTGGCAACGTGGTGCAGACGACGCTGCTGGCCGAGACGGCGGCGGGCGGCGTGACATCGGTCAAGTTTAGCCCCACAGGCGCGTACGTGCTCCTTGGCTACGGCGTGCGCGATCGCATCCAGCGGTACGCTTTCCATGTTGCAGTTTGTGTTTTGTATCAATGTATCGATGTTGTAGCATCAATCAGTTTCCGCTGCACCGCGTGACGCGCATTTACCGCTGGGAAGACATGACGCTCGTGTCGCACATGGAGTCGGAGGTCGACGACGTCAACATTGCGCTCTTCCACCCGCTGCCGGGGCACGGGTTCATTTACGGCACCAAGCAAGGCCGCCTCCGCGTCTGTTATGCGTACCGAGGTCACTTTAGCGACGTCGAGAACGACAATGCGCTCCGAGAGACGCTCGACCTCCAAGCTCTCTTTGCACATCGCGGCGCCGACTTTGCGATGCAGCAACACGACGACTAGGCAGCGTTGTGCATAATATAATTGGTGACGCAATCTCGAACGAGAGAGAGAAGGTCGTGGAGCTCTGTGTGGCCTGTGCCCAGAAGACAGACACGCCGACGCACGAGGTAAATGCACATTCCGCGTCCTCGCCATATGCTGCTAACGTTAGTATAAAGCGCTTACTTGCCTGATGGGCTTTAGCACTATGGCCTGTTCGCTTGGAGTGCTTCTTGTGGCCAGCAAAGACTGCGGTGTCCATGACCTGCAAGCAAGACGTGCGCGGAGCTTGATAGCGGGCTTGACAGTCGCCTGAACCGATCCCCTGCCGCGACATAGACGTTTTGGTGATGCGGTTGCGCAACAGGAGGTGGCGCGTCTGTGTCCCGGCTCTGTCCCAGGTCCGCTCGGACCAGCTACCGTAGGACGAGCCGTAGAAAGACAAGTGCCTTCTTCTACGCTGTAGAATCGCGCTTGACATTGCAGAGGATAGCGACGTCGTCTATCGTACGTGTATATGTGTGCGGCATTCGTCCATGTGGCCAAAGCCGGGCGGGGAATCACATCTGTGGTGACTGCTTTTCTGATCCAACGGTGACTAATCCCACCGCAGACAGGCGCCAAGTGGGATTACTCGTCTCTCGCGGGAGAAGTCTCATCAAACGACAACGACAGAATCATCATACTAAGTGCGACCGACGGCTTGGCTGCAGTCGAAAGCTAGCGAATGCGAGTATGAGTCCGACGAGCTTTCATGCGATCAAATGAAATAGAAAAAAATGAGCGCATCAACGCCTCGAACCACTGGCCGTTTGCGTATCACTCTCTCGCACCAAACAGTGATATTTGACGTTATGCAGCAGTCAATCACTAAAACTAGCCGCAAAGAGCGGGAAGGTGCAATGAGTGACTCACTATCAGGCGTCACTAGCGCCAAGGGTTCGCTGCCAGTAGCACCCTGGTCAAGGCCCAGGCCTCTCGAATATGCATTCCAAGCTGAGCTGATCTGTGGCTGCTTCGTGGGTATCGTCTACACACGTGGCGCGTATCCTCCTCTGAGAAAGCACCAACAAAGAAGAGTCCCACCGTGTAGCCCAAGTGGGTGCAAGTGCAATGTCGCTCCCCAGTTTGCCTTTTGCGAGTATGAGCACCAAGCTGCGTTTCGTGGCGCCGCCGTCGCGGGCGTCTTCGGGCAAAATCTGGCTCCTCGACGAGAAGCAGCTCGACGACTTTGCGATCCTCGACACCACCACGTCGACCAACACGCAGACCGAGCGCTTCCACACGCAAATGCTACTGGATCTCGACCCGTACGAGACGTCGAGCTACGACAAGCAGAGCGACATGGACGACGACGACGGCGCGCTCCGCGCCGGCACGGCGCTGCGTTTTTTCAGCCTCGAAGCGTTCGCGCTCCTCAGCCAGTACGCCGGCGTCGGCATCCTCTTCAACACGCTACCCGCGCTCGCGTACCCCGTGTTTCAGAACTATCTGCACATGCAAGGCTACCAAGTGTCGTCGTACACGGCGCTCATCAACCTCGGGTGGTCGTTCAAGATCTTCTTTGGCATTCTCTCCGACTGCTTTCCGATCTTTGGGCTGCAGCGACGCCCGTACATCATTCTCGGCTGGACCATCTGCGCGGCGTGCTGCGCGGTCATGGCGCTGACGCCGTTTGCCAAGCCGTACTACGGCGCTGCATTCCTTGCGCGGCTTCCGTTGGCCAACATTTCGAAAAGCGACCAAGACGCGTACATGAACCTCGATGCGCCGTCGAGCAGCGGGCTCTTTATCGTGCTCTCCATGGTTGCTAGCCTTGGCTACGTCATGGCCGTCACCGCCTGCGACGCCATGGCGGTCCAGTACGCGCAGCGCGAAGCGCTGTCCCACCGCGGGCGCATGCAGACCACCATGTATTTCGTGCGCGATTTTTCGGGGATGGTGCCCCAGATTCTGGTCGGGTTTTGCATGAACGACTACACGTACGGCGGCAGCTTTGACTGGGCGATCTCGCCCAACACGGTCTACGCGATCCTCGTGCTGCCCTGCGCGGTTTGCATCACCACGGCAACCTTCTGGATGGTCGAAGACAAGGTCCTCGTGCTGCACTTTCGTCAGTACCTCAAGAACCTCTGGGACCTGCTGCAGCTGCGCGTCATGTGGCAGTTTTGCGCCTTCCAGCTCCTCAACCAAGCGTGCATCGCCTTTGACACGACCGTCTCGAGCCCGCTCGCGTCGACGCTCCTGCACGTGCAGCCCGTCGCGGACCAAGCGTTCGTCGTCATTGGCATTTTCCTCTACACGGCAACCATGTTTTCCATTGGCAAATTTGCTCTCAACTGGGACTGGCACCGCACCGTCATTCTCCACACAGTCCTCCTCGTCGCGCTCGATGCGAGTTTCAAGCTTCCGACGGTCTGGGGCCTCATCACGAACGAGTACGTCTACCTCGCCGGCCGCACTTGTTTGCAGCTCCCAACGGCCTTCTTGTTTTTGTTTACAACCTATTGTATCGTCGAAGTCGCCGACGTCGGGAACGAAGGCGCCGTCTACGCGCTTGTAACGACGTGCGCCAACGTCGCGGTGCCCGTCGCGACCTTTCTTTTCAAGACCGTCGACGCGTTCTTCGATGTCGAGCTCAACGATATTCAGCGCAACGATACTGCGGTCCGCTGGCAAATGACGTATTGCTATCTCATTGCGTACGCGTTCAAGCTCGCGTCGCTCGTCTGGCTCGTCTTGCTGCCGCGCCAGAAGGCCCACGTCCAGATCCTCAAGCGTTCGGGGGGCACGAGCCGCATCATGGGTCTCGTGCTTGTGCTCGTCGTCGCATTTTGCCTCCTCGCGGTCGTTGTCACCAACCTCCTCGCCATCTTTCCGACGACGTCGTGCCTCCGCATTGCTGGCGGTCCGGGCTGTGCCGTGTCTCCTTAATTTAAACTGTACATGCTTTTTGCCGCATTTTCTTCTTGTTTTATCAGCACTTTACGTCCATAGTCCGTTCGTCTATGCATGTGGTTGCTATGAAGCATTGTGGTTGCGGTTAGGGCTCTCCAGACGACCCGACATTTCACTTTGAATTCTGCTTGCCACGTATTTGGCCAGGGAACTGCACTACGAATATGTAACCATGGTGAGAGAGCTTGGTGAGAGAGCTTGGTGAGAGAGCTTGGTGATTTTGCGTGGCAGTTGCTAACGGCGCGGTGCTTCTTTTTTCCGTAAAACTGCAGTCATCACCGCCTCCAGCCGAGAGAAAGGACATATGCGTGGCTCGTCGAGTAACTCAGATTTTGACAAGCAACGAGAATAAGGCAACGTAGCTAAAGGCGACCGATCAAATGCTACGCTGGCCAAAGCGCAGTGCACTAGAAGGATAGTCCTTGGAGGCTGCGGTTTCGCTCTTCTTCCAGCGAAACGATATCCCTCGATCGTCGAAGCGCGCATTTTTCTCAGCGACACAAACATGGCCTTCAAGACCGCATGGACGCTACCAACGCCCACGTCATCTCCGCACGAATGGATCTGCCTCGACTCGTCGCCCGGAAGTCGCAGCGCGAGCCGTGCGTCGTCGCACGTGAGCGACTTTGGCAGTGGCCTTCGCGCGGGCCCCCCGCCCGAGCTCCAGAGCCCATCGATTCGGGGGCTGCTGTTGCAGTACGCCTGCATCGGCCTTGTCACAAGCACACTCCCCCTGCTCCCGTCCACAGTCTTTCAAGATGATTTCAACCAACCTCATCTGGCCTCGGTCTACGCCGCGCTGTGCACGCTGCCGTGGCTCGCAACGCCTTTTCTCGGGCTCCTCGCCGACTGCCTGCCCCTCGCCCACCGCCGACGTCGTGTCTGCATGGTGCTCGGGTGGGCGCTCTGTGCTGCGTCCTGTCTCGCCATGGCCATCACGCCGCTGCGCGCGCAGAACGCCACGTCATTGCACGTGTTTTGCTTGCTCACGACGGTGTGCGCGAGTCTCGGGTGCGCGATTGCCGCCGCAGCCTCGGACGCGCTTCTTGTCGCGTTTGCGCAAACCGAGCGCATTTGGGAGCGCGGCCGACTGCAGACGCGCGCGCTTGTGCTTCGCGCGACGGGCACGTTCGTGCCACAGGTGCTTGTAGGTGCCATGGCGCTCAAAAGCGCCAGCGTCATCTACGCCCTTTTGACGGTCGCGAGCGTCGGTGCAGCGAGCGCCGCGATCCTCGTCGTCACCGAACCCGTGTTCGAGCCCGCGCTGTCCACGCGGCACTATCTGCACCTGCTCTGGGCGACCTTGCAGCAGCGCGTCGTGTGGCAGCTCTGCGCCTTCCAAGTGCTCTTTGGTGTCTGTTTTTATGTGCCAAGTTTTCTCGAGTCGGCGCCGTGGCTAGCGCTCGAGGCGCGCCCGGTGGTATGGTTCAACCTCGGTAACACGGTCGTCGCCATTGCTGCACTCTTAGCGATGGGTGTCAGTGGCCTTGGCCTCGACTGGCGCAAATTGATCGTGGCCAGCACCGCTTTGTTCATTGTTGGCAGCGTCGCTGTGCACTTCGGTGCTTTGTACAGTGCCTTGCCGGACGAGTACACGTACTTGGTCGTACACATGCTGCTGCAAGCGCCCAATGTTGTTTTGCTGTTGCCAGCCAACTATTGCCTCGTCGAAGTCGCTAGCGCTGGTGCCGAAGGCGCGCTCGCGGGCCTCGTCTCGACGTGCTTTGTCATCGCCCGCCCCGTGGCTGCACTGGCCTATCGCGCATTGCGCGCAGCGTGGCCAGCCGACATGAGCAAAGACGATGGATCGACGCTGGAGGCTACGCGTCTTATACTGGTGGTGTTTCTGATCCAAGCGACCTCGCTCTTCTGGCTCTGGCTCCTCCCACGGCAAAAAGCCCACGTCGTCCAGCTCAAGCTGCATGGCGGTTCGAGCGCCGCCGGTGGTGGACTGCTCGTGCTCTGTGTCTTACTCATGCTGGCGTTGGCCGTGACGACCAGCGTCCTCCCGACGCTACCGACCACGAGTTGTCTCTGGATCGCTGGGGGCAGCGGCTGCAAATAGAAGTAGAAGTCTTCGTATCGTATGAAGTGTTCTGTAATGAATTGTGTCTATACTTCGAGACCGCAGTCCAAGGCTGCGCTGGGTCGTCGGGTCGCGCTTTGTGATTGGTCGGTGCGCCAAGCAGACTGTCAATGCATCAACGCGTACCCTAGCCCTAGTCTGGAAACCCTAATCCACAAGCACTTGGGCGTCGTGCACGTTAACTTGTAATTGCGGTACATCTTTCGTCACTGCACCGCAACGGGTTCATTCGATTTAAATACTAATGTCGAGCTCGTCCAGAGTGTCTTGTTCGTACAAGAGACGCTCACTGCTTCGCAACGTACTCGCCATGGACTGAATCGTCATGCGCATGTGCAGCATGTGCACCAAGTTGCGCTGCTCCGAGATGGCTTCTTGCACGCGGCGCATGTCGTCGACCATCGCCGCCGACGCGCGGCCCATCGAAGACGCTTCCGTCGCGGCGCTGTCCCGTATGCCGCTGGGCCGTGCGTCGAGCGCCTTGGGTTTTGCCGCGGGGCTTGGTTGTTGAGCATTGTCTTGGTCTGTCGCGACAGCTAGCTTGCTTGCGAGGGCGCGCACGCGTGGGCCAAAAGAGAGTTGCTTGAGCGCATGGCGCTGGAAGAGGAACGCGGGGGTGTGCCCCCCCGGGTCGGCGTGGTAGTACTGGACCGCCTCGAGGCCGCCGTCGTGGCGCTCGGTGATGAGAACCCACTCGTTGAGCTGCAGCCGGACGCCCGACGCATTGGGCATGTCGTGCGTCACGTCAATCGACTCGCGCACAATGAAAAAGACACGCTGGCCTTCTCGGTCCTTGGTCGTGCCGCAAAACTAGACCAGATACAGATGAGACACTTTGTCCAACAACAGAACGACAATGTGTACCTCGTAAAAGATAGCGTCGCGGGGCCGAGTGAATAGCACGCCATCAATCGCGAGCTGGAGCGTCTGGCGCTTGACGCCAAACCACTGAAAGTCGTTGTGGGCATCCGTGTGCGAGGCAAGCACCGCGAGAACGGCGCCGTCGACGTACCGCGTGCCGTGCATGTGTCGCAGATGCGCTTGCCACGTTGAGGTTTCAACGTTGAAGAGGAGGCGCGCGATAGAGTTAAAGTGCCCGGGCGACGAGCTCACGCCGACGACTTCGTCAAAACGCGAATAGTGTTGCCGCGCCTTGCGCTTGTAGCGCTGGACGCCGTCGGACGTGGGTGCGAGCGGGCGGAATCCCTCAAAGCGCAAGTCGGCGTCGCGGCTGCTGGGCGAACTCTGAATCACATTGTGGAGCTTGTCGACGAGCCGCGTGCGCCACGCCGGTGCCTCGGCAGCAAAGGTCGTGTCGATCGTCGGCATCAATTTGTAAAATGTAAAATGATCTCGGTGCCACCTGCCTCGTGACGAGCCAGCGGGTGGAAAAGCCAGTGCCTTTTGGCAAAGACACTGCCTCTTTGGGCGCTTCCACACCTCTCTTTGCTCGCGCCCACTCTGTAAACAGTCGAATCGAGGATGCAGCGCACTTGGGACGCGTACGGCGATCGACGCTCGAACCGCGGACCACGAGTGCCAGGCGAAAGCACCAAAGCGCCACGCACAGGTCACGACCATATGGCACGACCGCCATGTAAAAGAGGGCCAAAGCACATTCGTGCACGCTGCAGTGAACGTTGCCGTCGCGTTCGGCGTCGATGGAGCATGCAATGGACGGACACGGCGAGTCGCCGACGTTCGAGAGGTGGGCACAAGCAGGTTGGTAATGACAGGCCAGCATTCTGCGTACCGCCACCTCTGACGTGTAGCTCACAAAAGGCAACCGGAGAGACTGTATATCCAGTGTACATGAACACCTCTTCGGTGGCCCGTGTTGTCCAGTCGCAACGGAAGTTGGTTGGGCTGGAGGCGCGGAATGGTCGAGTTCGCACTGTGGGGAACAAACACGCTGCGTAGCGCATTCCTGCGTCCCGCCTCGTCGAGTCAACGTCACTTCGAACCCACAATTCTGCCGTGTAACAAGAAGCATTCGATATCATTTCAGGCGCTGCGACCGACGTCGCTCAAGGCGCCTCTGCTAACTCTGTATTAAACAGCACACTGGAACTGAACATTATTGGTGCTGTCGTCCACCAGTGGTGGCCATCAGTGGTGAAGCACAGTTGGTTTCGGCGCTTGGAATGGACTCTATATCTTGGTGCGCCAACCCTAAAACGCTCTAATTTTGTTGTTGTAGAGGACAAATTTGACGTTTGTGAGCTCATCTCGCCCGAGAATCCAGTGTTTGGGTGCACTCTCGTATCGTTCTGTCGCGCCCGACATGGGGCGCATAGGAGCGACGCCAACGCGCAACGGTCGTCGTCGATACCGACCTACACGGCGTTGAGCGCTGGAACAATAGCACGCCATAAACCCGACTCGATTGTCATATTGCGATCGTCTTGACGGCAAACCAGACAATTTATAACATTATTGAAATGGGGTGCCAAGGGTCGTCCGAGCGCTACGCAGTGCACACCAAGGCGGATGGCAGCCTCGTTCTCTCAAGAGACCACCGACGACTGCTGCTCAAGTACGCGCCTCACTTTATCGCGACCCGCATGCCCACGGACAAGGACGAAGCGCTCATGAGCCAGAGCTGGGACGACGTCATTGGCCGCCGACTCCGCGGCGAGATGCAACACCGGCAAAAGCAGCAACAACAAGAGAAGCAAGAGACCGAGCCGGACGCCGAGGCCTCCAGCGCCACGTCGGCGATCGTGCAATTCTACGATACATTTTTCGGCCAACTCTACAGGCTCAACCCCGAGACCCGCGCGGTGTTTCGCAACTCGATGCACGTCCAGAGCAAAGCGCTGGTCAATATCGTCGGCGCGATTCGACACATTTTGCACTCGGCCGATGCGTGCGCCGACATGACGGCGCTGGCCGTGAGCCACATTCAATATGGCGTCAAGCTCGAGTACTTTGACTGCCTCGGGGTTGCGCTCGCGGCGACGCTGCGCAAATTGGGGGGCGACCTCTGGAACGATGACGTGGCCGACGCGTGGCACACGGTGATTGCGTACATCATTTGCCTCTTGATCCCGCCCTACTTGGAGCGCACGAAGCGGAAAAGCCGACAGCATCTTTTGACAACACCACCAAGTGCCAAGACGACGCACCCGCTTCTGTCGTCGAGCGCAACGACGATGCGCATTGCTGTCGCCTACAATGGGCCGCCGAGCTCCCTGCGTCCCGTCTCGTAATAGATGATTTTCATACATCTCGCTCCATAGTCTCCGTGCCAGGGATGAGCAGGATGGATGTTTCCTTAGGGGTAGGTTTACCAACACAATGGTCACCGTCTTGATTGGAGATATCGCAACCCTGTAGAATAAGAAGCGCCTATACTGTACTATCTCGAATGCTACCTCAGACTACACCATTGTGCAAGCCTATAACCATAAATCATGTTGTGAGAGACCCAAGAGGAGCTAGAAAGTGTCAAAGGGCTAGGTATTTCGCTTATGGTGGCGTCAAATACTCGCGAAGATCTCGATCGAGATAGCCGAAGAAGCGCTGGAGGCGCCGACGAAAGTTGGTGACCGTCAAGTACTCTTCTTGGTCGTCCGAGACTTCAATACCGAAAAAAGCGCCATATTCGTCCAGCGAGAGGTACCCGCTTCCATCCGCAGCACTGAGCGATGTCACGGTGATGCAGTCCTTGACGAGCGTTTGGTCGGGTCCAATCGCTTCGATGACGCGCCTACGTACTCGGATCATGACGCAATTGTCCACAAATTAGACGCTGCGCACCAGCCCGTTTCTTCGTACATGCCCCGTTGACTCGAGGGGTATTGAGCGTCTTCGACGATGTTTTGGCCCACGAGCACAAATCGACCGGGCTCCGTGTACCGCCGGCACAAGTAGTGCTGCTCGACGCCCTTGATGAGCGTTTGGTGGCCATACACGAGGTTCTGCCCCTCGAGCTCCTACCACGGTCGCCTCTAGCAGCTGGCCTTTCCCAGATTGCACTAACCTCTTGATTGATGCGGCGCACCCAGTTGCCGGTGCTGTTCTCAACGCCGATCTCGGTCACGTCGTCGCAAAAGGCGCCGTAGACGCCCTCGACATACGCCAGCGACGCGTGCACGACGCGCTGGCTGCGCACCACAAATTGAAACTTGCCGTCGTCCAGGTAAATGTTTATGTCGGAGAAGTCCTGGACCGAGTTGGACGGGAATGCATTCGCTTGGAACGTCCCGTCGACGTTGTGGTACAAGCGCGTCATGAGCCAGTCCATCGCGAGGCCGCGGGCGCCGGCGTCGGCGGGCAGCGCGACCGAGTGCCAGTTGGCTGGCGTCGGTGGCATCGACGCCTATGCACGACGTTAGCCTCCGCATTTGCGACGCCAATGATGCATGGTACCTGCAACGTGGGGCTCAGGCGCGCGACCCATGACCCGAGCACGCGGGCCATCGTCGTGTAGTACTCGAGCTGATCCCGCAGCTGTCGGTTCTTGCCGACCACCACTCGAGTCTCATCGCGCAGGCCAAGCGCCACGTCCTTCCACGGCAGCATGCACATGCGGTCGCGCTTCCCGTGTACGGTTAGCGCCGTCCACGTCTGCTCGAGGTCGGCGACGCGGCGCCGCAGCATCTGCAGCTCCTCGAGGTCCAGTCGCCGGTACTCCCGCTGGCGGACGCGGTTGAGTACGCGCCGCTTCTCATCCTTGGAGAGTCCATCGAGACCGTCGACCTCGACATGGACGCCCGCGACCACCGGCAGCACCTCGCGCAGCATGGTCCGAGGACGACGCTCTGGGCAAGATGCGGAGCCCAAGCATCCCACGGGTTGTGACGCCAGCTGGCGCGTGCCAGCTGCTAAAGATGGCACATGCCACATTCAGCGTATCCATATCCGGAAGCACGTCGTGCGGCACCTGCCACAAATAATTCGGCACAAGCACCTTTAGATGTGGCATATGCCACCTATGCATATCCGGATTTTCGGATAGTCTGCCAGAAAGGCAGCGATGGCCAAGCCGACCGCGCAGCAATCGTTGCGTTTGTCAAGGCGAAGCGCCGGACGGTGCTGACGCTGGAGGAGAAGCTCGACATCTTGCGACTGCACGTGGGCTTGCGCGAGGAAGGCGTGGTCGACGTCACCGGCAAGATCGCGCAGTGGCTCGGGCGCAGCGACGCCACCGTCAAGGCCGTGCTGCGCGAGTCCAAGACGACCGGAACGCTCACGGTCGCGCTCCCGCCTTCCAACAAGACCAACCACGCGTCGCGCGTGCCGAGCACACCAGCGGTCCGCGCCTTGGTCAAGAACTTCCTACGCGACCGCGACGGCCTCCGCACCGTGTGCAAGGACATCGTCGAGCTCCTCCTTGCCAAAGGCAAAGCCAGCATCAAGCGCGTCAGTGCGACCGAATACGAGACGAAGGACTACAACGCGTGTCTCCGCGCCGTCCACGGCTTTTTGACCCGGGAAGGCTTCAAGTACACGGGGCTGGGTAGCAAAGGGTCGTACGGAGCGAATGACGACGACGCGTCCGACTAAACCGTGTAGTAGATAGAGTCACAGGATGCGTGTCTGTCGCTCTAGCCAGCGTCGATTTGCAGAGAGACCCTAAGCCCTTGCATCTTCGTATCACGGCGACGGTGCAGGACTGGCTTCCGTTTGACAGCACCCCAAGACGCTTCGACTCGGCCCTAGAGGCTGCAGTACACCCGACCTAGCTCGGTTGGCACACGCGTGGCCAACTAGCACACGAGCCAAAGTGCAGCATTGAGTTATACCATCAGAATCTAGTCGGTCTTTGCGTCGAGTCGGTCCATGAGCCGGTTCAAGGTGGCTTGCATCGCGGCCATTTGCTCCACAAGGGCGGCATTCTGGGCTTGCGCGGCTTCGGCCTGGCGCTTCATCTGCAACTCGATCCGCGCCACGTTTGACGCGACGTCCGAGTCGGTGACCGTGCTGCCTCTCGTGCCCAGCGACTTGGCCGTAAAGAGCGCTGGCTCCTTTGGCGGCGGCTTGCTGAACAGCTCGGTGAAGATCGCCCAGCGCTGCGACTGCTCTTTGAACGCGGCGACTTGCGTGGCTTGGATCTCGGTGGCCTGCGTCTGGAGGTCGCCGAGCGTGAGTTCCTCGTCGGCCTTGTGCTGGAAGGCGTCAACCGCCTTGCCAAACTGGGCGCGGATCGTCGTAATACCGCGCTCGATCGCGCTGTTGAGCGAGAGACCGTGCACGACGCGATAGAAGAAATCGTCCGACTCGCTAAGGCTCGTGAGCGCCAGCTGGAACGCGAGGCACTCGGCTTCGACCGCGCGCTGCACGTCCTTGATGCGCGACGGCATGTCCTTGAGCTCGGGCGGCCGCTGCTCCAAGACGGTCCGGAAGCGCAGCGAGACGTTGGCTTTGGTCGCGCCGATGCGCTCGGCTTCGTTGCCGAGAATCGCGGTCGGCGCAAAGTGGTTGGCGTGTCGAATGGCTTCGAGAAGCGTCTCGATCTCGCCTTCGATGACGCTCTCGAGGCTCTGGAGCTGCTGCTTCCACTCGTGCACCGTTTCTTCGAGCTCCTTGATGACGCGCGCGTCGTCGTCGTCGAGCGCACACTCGGCTTTGAGCATCTTGTCGGCAAACGCCGGGTTCAAAATACCTACCATAGTACCGTCAACCTCATCGTTTGCAAAGAAAAAGACACTGCACCGTCGCGGTGCTTGGGCTGTTTGGCGCTCGTGAGCTTCCGCAGCAATGGCAACCGCTCCATGTCGCTGTCACCTGCGTCCGTGTAGCCGGGTCGGTTGAGGTACATGAGCTTCAAGCGTTCGCGTGACCCAAGCGTGAGCTCCATGCGCAGAATCGAGTCGGCAAAACTCCACACCGCCTCGGTTTTCGAGCGCTCGAGGCCGCGGTCGACCGTCTTGTTCATGATCGCAAGCAGCACGTTCATGAGCATGACGACCGAGACAGTGGCGTGGAAGATGAGCAGCACCATCGTAAACGTCTCAATGAACGGCTCGTCGAGGTCGTCGAGTGAGTCGCGAATGTCATATTGACCGAGCATGACAAAGTACGTGCGCGTGAATGACATCCACAAGTTGTCGTAGCCCGCGTCGACCTTGGTGTGGAGCAGCTGGTAGAAGACGCACGTGAGGCCGATCTGGAAGACAGCGTAGAACATGAAAAAGTTGGCCACGTCCACGAGGAGCCCGGCCATCATCGGGAGGAGGTAGCCCGCGGTTTGAAAGACTGCAAAGTACTGCAGCGAGAGGATCCAGAGCGAGAGCGTCAGCGTCGAGCCGAGCGCGAGGAGCCCGTCGTTCGATAGAAGCGGCAAGATGCCGAGGGACGCGGGGATGTAGACGCAGAGGATGCTAAAGTACGTGCCGAGTTGCCAAATATTGACAAACGACTCGAAGTACTTCCAGCCAATGTGAAACATCCGCGCTTCCTTGCGTTGCTTGGGCGTCTTCTCGGCCGAGCTCTCGCCGCGGTACTCTTTGAACTCGAGCAACGTGAAGTACAAGGTCGAGAGGCCGAGAGATGAAAACACGAGAAAGTTGGAGAGGTGCCCCGGAAGATGGGGAAACACGAGCCACAGCAGCAAGGCGGTGGTGCCGAGCGAGCTCAGCACGACGCCTGCGGCAATGCCCCACTTGACCATCTTCTTGAGCGACGCAAGCGGCGGCACTATCGGCGACGGCCAGCCGTGTTCGAGGCCCTTCGCCAAGTTCCAGAGCGTGCCGGGGCGAAGCGCTTGGACGCCGAGGAGACCGTTGGCGACGAGCACCATCATGATGACCCAGAGCGTCATCTCGGCCGACTGCGTCGTCGGCTTTGGGTCGAGCGTCACGGAGAGCGTCATCGAGATGACGAGCACCGAGTGCATGAGCAGCTCTTCGATAAAGAGGCGCTGGGCGAAAAACTACAAAAAACGGTGAAAAGTGCATGAAAAATGTTGAAAAAACATGAAAAAGGGCAGGTGTACCTCCCACTTGAGCGCCAGGATGCGCTGCATGACGACGTGTTCGAGGAGCTTCTTGGCTTCGTACACGCGCTCGTTGTTGTCGGACGTGTAGTTGACGAGCGTGTACAGCGGGCTGTGCTGAATGAGTTCACTTCCGTACACTTGATCGAGCTAGATGCAAAATGTCATGCACAAATATGGTCCCCATGGTTCGCACCTTGGTGAAGCCCAGTGTGTGGCGGTCGGGCTCGATGCAGTCGTCGAGCAAGATGCGCCCGAGGGCCGGGTCGGCGTGCACGACGCGCTTGAACAAGCTCTCGTCAAACGGTTCGTTGGTCCGGCGCGCGTACAGCGTCGACTTGAGCTTGTCGACGTAAACGGACGAGTTGGCGCGATAAAAGATCTCCTTCTCAATCATGTCCTTGCACTCGAGCAGCGCCGCGTCATACGACGTCTCGAGCTGCGCGTCGAGCCACGCCAGCACCGTAAATTTGATCTACAACCAACCACATGTAACCCTAACCCTCCTGACCATGTCGCATACGTGGTTGTCAGTGAAGATGACGTCCATATCGGCAAGGTTTGAGAGGAGGACTTGGACCACGTTGGCATGGCCGGCCATGGCCGCAAAGACAAGCGCCGTCTTGCCGTTGATCGACTAGGTACATCAATATAAAGAATACAATATTGTACACATTTTGGCGGCGTACCGTCGAGGGGTCCCACTGCGGATTGTCGATCTCGGCGCCTTCCCGGAGCAGCGCCACGACAAGGTCGACAAGGCCTCTCTCCGCCGCCAGAATCAGAATCGTTTTGCCGTCCTAGTCATTCGAATGCAATAGTTCAATATGGCCAATCGTGCCGGTCACGTACGGCGTCGACTTCCTCGAGCATGTGTTTGAAGCGGGGGAGGTTGTCGATGCAGTCATGGATGCGGTCAAAGCGGAGGTATGAGTGTAGCGGGTACTGGTCGCGCTGGCGCTGCTCGGCCGTGAGCAGTTCCTGGATGAGCGCTTGCGACGCGAGTTCGCGCTCGTCCGACGACTCTGTCGTCCGATGAAACTCGCGCGACTTGCTCTTGACGCTCTATCGCGTAAAATGTTATACACCGCGTTATAATCCACATCGAAATGTACGTGGTACATGACGGCGCCGGCGGCCAAAAGCAGCTGGACGCACCCGACACGCAAATTATCGATCGCCAGATCGAGTGCCGTCTTGCCATCCTAGTCCTTTGTGTTATAACACTGTTTCAAGTGTTGCCGTGAAAGTACTACCTTGTCGAGCTGGTCGATGTCCACGCTATTGTACGCCAGAATCTTGGCAACGAGGCGCTCTTGGCCGTCGGTCGACGCACGGTGGAGCACCGAGAAGCCCTACGCGAAGCGTGAGAAGCGTCGCTCAACAGGTGACAGATAGCGAACCAGGTACGTCTTGTTGATGTCGCCAAACGAGTCTTCGAGGAGGTACTGCTCGACGAGCGGCCATTTCTTGTTCCAAGCGATTTGCGCGAGGTTGACAGCGTGGCCCTTGCACTCGCCCTTGCACACGGTGCTGCGCTTGCGCTCCTACATCCAGGTACAGAATGCTCCTACCATAGCTCGACCATAGCCAAAACGTACGTTGAGCGAGCTGCCCATATGTAACAAGGTCGCAATGATCGACGCGATCTCGTCGTTGAGCGACGGATCGGTCTCGGCGCAGTGCAAGTTGCGCGCTAAGAAATCCGCGGCCGTCATGCCTTCCTACCTCCCATTCATGAGCCCAAGCAATAGTAACAACTGTCTACGTGGTTTTTCTGGTTGACGTCCAATACCGAGGCGTCGGCTGCATCAAAGAACGCCCGAATGAGCTGCAAGTTGCCCTTCTCGCAGCAGAGCATCAAGGCCGAGACACCGACCTAGTGGCATCGCAACGCTGCTTCCCAAGCTCAACTTTGTGTACCGTGCTCGTCGCGTTGATGTTGACGTCGCCGTGCGTGATGAGCTTGACGACAATGTCATGGTGACCGTTTTGGCAGGCGAGCATGAGCCCCGTAAACCCGCTCTAGCGTCTCGTGAAATGACCATACGATCAGGAGAACATGTCGTACGTGGTTGGTGTGGTTGAACTCGACCTGCGTGTCGCGCGCGAGGAGCTCATCCACGATCGCCGTGCAGCCAAACGAACACGCGAGCATGAAGCCAGTCCAGCCATCCTACATGACAAACTGACGTGGATGATCTGAGGATACTATTGTGTACATTGTCCTTGGCGTTGACGTCAATGTCAGCCACGCGCAGGAGACTCAAGACCACGTGGAGGTGTCCGTGGTGGCACGCGTGCTGAAACGCCGTCTCGCCGTTCTACATCATTCGAGGGATCCGTCGAGACGGCAAGTGACGACGTACGGCGTTGGGAACGTTGGCATCGACTTGGTCGTGCTCGAGGAGGAGGTCCACGATCGGCGCATGGCCGTTGCTCGACGCATATAGCAAGCAGTGCCAACCCGTCTACGAGAGATATTCGCGTCATTTTCGTTGAATTTGGGACATTTTTCCGACTTCGTCTTGGAGATTATACTCGAAGTCCGGGTGCGTCAAGAGCAGCTTGACCATGTCGTAGTGGCCGTTCTTGCACGCAAACATGCACGCCGTGCCACTGGACTAGACGCCCACGATTATTCGATCCCGTTCTATAGTCCAATCAACGAATATATATACCTGGTTCATGTGGTTGACGTCCACGTGTGGGTGCAAGAGGAGTTGGGCCACGATCGCCGTCTCGCCTTGGCTGCACGCATACATGAGGCACGTCATGCCATTCTAGGATTAGGGTTTGCATCGCCAAAAAGAACCGAACGCGAAGGAGCACCTTGTTGGTGCAGTTGACGTCAATGTGCGGGTGCTGGAGAAGCGCCGTGACGGCCGGCACGTCAGCGTACTGACACGCCCGAAGGAGGGCCGTGACGCCATTCTATGCGGCGACCGTCAACGATCCCAGGGAAGGACGATCGCACGTACGTTGGCGTATTGGTTGACAGCCAGCGTCGGCTGCGTCGCGAGCAGCGCAATGACCTCGATGCGGCTTTCGCTCACCGCCCACAGGAGCGCGTTCCACCCATTCTACGCGCGCCCTTGAGTACACGAAGCGAGACATTGCTTGCGGTCGCACGCGATCGACTTGGTTCATGTCCAACTTCGGGTGCCCGAGGAGCTGCGTGACGACGCCCAGATGGCCGTTCTTGCACGCCCGCATGAACGCTGTCCGGCCTTCTATCCACCGCCATGAAGGTGCTTGCCTTCAAGGCACCATACCGTGTTGGGCTGGTTGACATCGATCTTCGGGTGACTCAACAGCAGCGCGACGAGGCCATCGACACCGAGGCTCGCTGCGTACATCAAACCCGAGCAGCCATCCTATTCACATAGTGCGTTTGCACCATGCCATCATGTAATGGCGTACGTTGTCGGTGATGCGCTGTCGACTTGTGAACGACCGGCTCTTGCGGTCCGGCGATTCTTGGCGCACGTTCTACATACGCTCAGACCTATAAGAACACCAGATGCGTCTACCAAATGCGTCTTGTTGACGTCGATCGCGCTGTGGGAAATGAGCTCGGCGACCACGTCCGTGTGGCCTTCCATGCACGCGGTGAGAAAGCCGTCGCTGCCAAACTAGTCGCAACAACGACTTAGAGACCAAGTCGCCGCGGACGCTTGCACCTCGTTGGCAACGGCCACGTTGACGTCAGGATGGCGCACGAGCCGCGCGACGATCGGCGCATGGCCATAGTGACACGCAATGCTCAGGCCCGTCCAGCCCACCTACGTTCGATCGATGAGTCCACGGCGAGCGCTACGCCTTGCAGCAAATCGCGTACGTGGTTCTCAAAGTTGACGTTGATCGGTCGCATGAGGAGGAGGTTTACAACGTCCAAATGCCCCTTGGCGCACGCGAGGAGGAGGCCGTTCGAGCCATCCTACAGGGGTGCATGAGGGTACCGTCCGCCGCAAGTCGTGGAGCAACCGAAGCCACGTCGTGGAGGAGCGAGTCAAAGACGGGAAAGGCCATGAGCGCTGCGACGGTGCTCGCCATGCCCTTCTCGCACGCTTGCAGGAAGAGCGTGAGGCCCTACTCGTCGTGGTCAGCATGGGCAGCGTTGGCGGCGCGGACCTCGTCGTTGCGGTCGTGGAGGTTGCCGACGTGACCCTTCTTGAGGAACTCGTTGACCTCCGCCCACTTGTCGTCGGCCGCCATCTCGAGCAGTAGCGCCATCTTGCGCGTGCTCGTGCCACCGAGGAGCATGCTGACGCGAAGTTGGTTGCCAAAGAATGACACCCAAATCGGATCCGCGTTTTTATTTTCGGCATCTCGGCTGCTAAATGCGGCACGTGAAATTCACCGCGACGCCACGCGTGCAAGACTGGACACTGGTCGCGCAACCCAACATCTCGGCACAAGTAGACTGATGTCTCTGGATTCAAGGATACGTTTGCGCGTGGATAGCATCTTCTGGATAGATCGGAATCGTAACACATCGCAACAACCCGCCAAATGGGAGAAGCCAACGTCCCCACACAAACTCTACCCTCCTACCCATCGAGGATGTTAACGACGTAGTCGGTCATGGCAAGCAAGCGTCGGTACTCGGTGTATAGAGTGCCTAGAATTCCTAGAGCGCCGGCTGGCGCCAACAAGACGCGCGCGCTTGCGGCGAAATTAAATTCGGCGTATGCCGAATATCACCGTCTCGGCTACTTTCGGCGCAAAGGACTGCAAATGGCGACGACGGTCGCTCGAACTAAGCTTAGTTAGTACATTGTACGGAACTGCACTAACTAAGAAGACACCCTTCTTGTCGCATCCACGGAGTGAAAGCAAATCGCCAATCAAATGCAGTGTTTTTTCATACAGCGTTTTCTCGAGCGTCTAAGCTTAGGCTGCTGTTTCCTCGACAAGCGGCGCTTCTTCATGCATCGGCGCCGCGTCGTCGCTTGTTGTCGTGTCCCAGACAACCACTTGCGGGCAGAGCGTCGCAATGTCGGCGACCGACGGCAAAAACCACGCTTCGTCTTGGCACACGGCGTACACGACGTGCACCATGTTGCGCAGCTGTTCGATGAGCGCTTCGTTGGCGTCGCTTCCGTTGGTTGCAAGCTGGACAGCGCAGACCGCCAAGACCTACCCTCGATATTAGTGTCGTCATGGTTCATAAGTTGGCGACAAGCTACCTCTTGCCAGGCCGTCGCAAAGTCGACGGCGGCATCGGCGACCCACTCGTCGAGGTGATGTAAAAAGAGCAGCACGAGCATGTCCATGATGGCCACGGTCGCCGGCGACGTCAGAGGCGCTTCCAACGCAAACGACAGCAGCACGTGGCTGGCGTCATCGAGCGCGTCGTCGTTCACGCGGTGTGGCACGTCGACGCCCGTGAGCGGCATGACACCGAACCGCAGCAGTGCGAGCCAGGACGACGGCGCGAGCGTAGCGTCCGGCACCTCGAGCATCGCCTTGCGCAAGGCCGACAGCGTCTGCAGCCGCAGTGGTTCGGACGACAGCGTCGATGGGTGCGTCAGCAGCGCGCACATGGCCCCGAGAACCGAGAGCACGTCAGTGTCGGGCAGGCCATGGCGGCGCGCGAGGCCGTACAAGCTCGCTTCAAACACCAAGAGCGACTCGAGCACGGCAATGGCCGCCGGCGCGTCGACGTGGATGCTGGCCGCGTGCGCGACAAGCGTCAGCAGCGGCATCAGCGTCGGGTGGGCGCTTGCGACGTCGGCAGCGACACTCGCATCGAGCGTCGTCACACACAGCCTACTCCCATCGCTCATACAACCTGCCATGACCAAAGGGGGTGTTGTACGTAGCGTAATCGTCCATGTCGGGGACGTTGCTGCAGCGCAACAAGACACGGAGCCACGACTGCCACACGTCCGGCGTCGACAGTGGCATGGTCAGGACGCTGCTTAGCACCGGGCGTGCGACGACGCTGAGGAGGTCCATGTCGAGCGACTCGAGTACGCCGAGCGCAAACGAGAGGTCGGACGCGACAACGCCCGCGAGGAGCGTCTCGAGGAGGAAGACCGCGGCTTCGTACCCCATGGACTGCACCACGAGGTTGCCTCGGATGAACGGGTCGAGCGCATGGACGACCGCGTCGACGTGCGTGATGACGCGCGGGTGACTCGCTGCGATGACGCGCATTGCGATTTGCTCGAGAAAGATGGCGCCGCCCGGGCTCAGCACCGCGGGCGACGCTTTCGCCTTGGCCGGCGGCAGCACGACGCGCTCGATCGCCGTGCACGCCGCCTCCAAGAACGCATCCAACACGGGCAAGGACGCCATGCGGTCGTAAAAATCGAGCGCGATCGGGCACTGGCGGTAGTACTCGTCGATCCACGGCTGAGTCACCTACACAAGCGTACAGCAGCATATTCGTAGACGGTCGACTACCATAGGCAACACGTCCGTCTCGTCGGTCGTGGGCGGGAAGAAGAGGTCGTCGATCTCCACTTGGCGCGCCGAGACGAGCAGCAGCGACGACGCCACGTGGGCCGGCGACGACGGCGCCGAGAGCGGCTCGAGCGCAAAGAATCGAGAGACGCTCGTGAAGAAGCCGGACGGTGGCGCCGACGTTGACCGACCGGCGTGCTTGGCGGCCTTGCGCTTGGCCGCAGCCCGAGTCGTCTCGAGATACGCGGCGCGCGATTCTGTCGAGAGCCCCGACCGCCTACACCAACGTCTCAACCCGCTTCGTTTGCATAGTATGCGAGTACCGGTCTTGCAGGAAAGATGTCGGCAAGAGATGGTACTCGCGCAGCCGAGCCAAGGCTGAGAGGAACCACGTCCACGCCGAAGAGTCAAACGACATGTGGCACGACTGCCACAGCTGCAGCAGCCCCAGCGTCGCGCTCGACGCCACTGGGTCGTTGCAAAACGTATACCTAAACACTTTCAGGTCGGAGTAAAGCGAGAAGCGGACGTACACCACGGCCTCGAGCGCTTCGTCGTCCGGGGTCTCGCACAGCGTCGAGTACTCGCCGAGACGCGTGACGACCGCCATGAGCACCGACGGTGCGTGCAGCGAGGCAGCTGTCTCGGCCATCGCCACGAGATGCGTGAGCGCGTCGGGGATCGAAGCCCCGTCCAGACTCGCCATCAATGGCAGCACAAACTCGTGCGCGACAAAGTCCAACACATGCGCGTCGTACTCGGGCGTGTGGACATACGACTGGAGCGTTCGATCGCCGTCGCTGCGCTGGAGGTCGGCCCAGCGCTCGGACGTGACCTCGTCCGCATCGTCGCACGTGCGCAGTGGCCGCGTGCGGATCGCGTGGTAGATGGACGTCAAGTACTCTTCCGGGAGCGGACTCGCACCGTCCAGGCCGTAGTTGAGGTTGTTTTTGAGAAAGTCGGCCAGTGACATTTTGCGGTCGTCACGAATGTTGGTGTTGTGGAGGTCGGTCTGCAGCATGATGATCGAGAACGAGAGAAGGTACGGGACGTCAACGGACGTGCCAAAGAGCGTCCGCTCCTTGCACTGCGCAAACGCTTGCTTGGAGAAGCACTCGAGGATGCGGTCGATCTGCTGCGCTTCGCCCGGCAGCCGAAACGACGAGAGAAACATGCGCAGCGCGTCGACAAGGTACACGTCATCAAAGTCAAACGCGGCCACGTACGCCGGCAACAGCTCTTGGTGGAACTCGATCGTGTCGGTCAAGGCGCCGCCCGCCTTGCCCATCGTCCCGAGGTACTGACCCACGCAGTTCTACGACAAGGGTTTGATAGTCTTTCATGCCAAAGTTGGTGTCTACCTTGTCGAGGCCCGGCGGCAGCGACCGTAGCAAGCGTGCTAGAGGCTGTGCGTTAGTACAAGTGGAGGAGCGAGAGAGAGTAGGGTACCGAGGGACGACGCGTCGGTTGGCGACGGCAAAAAGCCGTGGGCCTCAAGCAGGCTAATGCCGGTGAGGGGCTTGGCGTTGAAGGCAGCGATGGCTTCCTACACGCAACTTTTAAACCGCTGCATTCGGAGGCGACGGGACCTGGAATCGCTTCTTGCGCTCCCGCCGGGCGAGAACGTTCTCGGACGCTTCGACGGCCGGCCCGACAATCAGGTCGAATTCGGTTCGCGTGCGCATGTGCAGCACGTGCAGGAGGTTCCAAAAGCCCTGGAGCGCGACGTCGGCCATTTCGGGCTCGTCGACCATCTACACCACATCCAGTGGATGATACTGTGTATCCAAGATCAGTCCGTGTACATCGACAAAGTCGTTGGCGTCCGAGATGGGCACGGACGGCTTGACGAGCGACGTGAGCGTCGAGAGGAGCAGTTCGAGCACGTTGGAGCGGTCACTGTCGCAATCGTATTGGACAAACACATCGATGACGAACGACGCGTCAGCGAGGAAGTCCACGAGGCACTGTAGCAGCTCGAGGCGCCACTCGAGCGCCAAGCGGCGGTCGACAATGCCGGGGATGAGGCCCATGAGCATCACTTCCCACTGGAGCTTGAGGACGGGGCGGAGGTAGCACCACACGAGCCGCAGGACCGTGAGACATGCCAGAGGGACGTCAATGCTGCCCGACGACGGCGACGATCTATGGACGAGGCTTCTTACATACGGACAAGGAGGAAGCATCGGCGAACCCGAGGCGAAGCCAGTTGAGAATTGCACCGCAGAGCTCGTCTTGGGCGTAGGAGAGCAAGGCCGGGACGTCTCGCAAGTGGTTGCCGAGCTTGAGGAGGATGCTTTGGAGCAGCTGCAGCGACAGCAACAGCTCGCGCTCGGAGCTCTTGGACGTGGGCTGAATCTACGAGATAGATGGTTGGCTCTGTACGAGATACGCCGATTGCGTACCTTTTGGCAGAGAAAGCCGAGCACCTTGACCGCGCATGGTAGGCCAAACGACCGCGACGGCGCTTGCGGCAACATTGTTGGGTCAAAGATGATGTGCATCATGCGCTGGAGGCTGTCGGTCGCGACGCCGCGGATGACGCCCGAGATGCGCGTCTAACCCGTGGAATGAGCTGATAAAGCTTCACGTAGCGCGGTACGTACGTCTTTGGAGCGCGCGATCGCGAACAGCGCTTCGACGACATGCCAGATCGTGTCGTCCGTGAGCGTCGCCGCGGCCCGGCACTGCAAGACCATGTCGAGCACGCGCACGACGGTCAGGAGCACATACTGGTCGCTGTTGGGCTCCGTCTCCTGGAAGCGACACTGCGTGACCGCGTCGAGGACGTCGGCGAGCGCATGCTGCATCGGGATCCCATGCAAGGTTGCATTCTCGTCGTACACATGCAAGATCGAGCAGACCGCCTCCATGGCCGAGCGTGTGAGCGGCCCTGTCGTGTTCTCATTGCGGATGATGTCGAGGAACGGGCGAAGCACGGTTTGTGGCTCAAAGTCGTGCGGGTCGGTCCATTGCTGCACTTGCGCTCGGAGGCTCGCGAGCGCGGTCACTTGGCCCGACTTGACCTGCACGCAGCTAGCTTAGCATAGGTCTTATGCAGACGCCATGGTACCTTGAGGAACTTGTAGTGGCGGCGGAAGACATGGACGAGCGTCTGGATCCCGCTCAAGGTCGCACACCGGAGCGCTTCCATCGTCTTCGCCCGATATGACGCCAATGCGATCTGCGACACCACGCTGAGCATACAAACACCAAGCTTCATATTTTAAAAACACACCACCTACGCAGCGCACGCCGATTGGCTATTGCGCTTCTTGCTGCGATTTCATTGGGCACACAGAGCATTACGACAAGGAGCTGCGATTTCGGTGGTCTATCAGCACGCAAGTATCGGCGAGGTAGGGCGCAGAGTCGGGTCGACTTCCATCGTGGCTGTTGAGGTTCATGCGATCACGTCATTCTAAGGCATTGAAGACTTATTATTATTGTCCTCGATGCAGTGCCAAACTTACTCTTTAGCCGACGCCAGCGGTAGACGCCGCGTAGGAGTGGTGGGTTTAGCCATGCAGTCTTTGGGACCAGCTCCCTCTGAGGCAATTCGCCAGTAGTGCGGGAGTGTTGAATTTACTGGCGCGCCGCATAGAAAAAGAGAGGGAAAAAATCCTGGATCCTATTTTATCATCATTTTATTCCAGCGCCAGCGCCACGGGCTCTCCCCGGATTACGCAATCGTGGTAGCTTGATTACGTCATATCACTGGCTCCAGTAGTGTGCTTGTCCAATCAGAACGGGGCCGGATAAGCAACAACGCTGCCGGAAAAGCCAGATGCGCCGGCTCTGATTGGACAAAATGAAGGATTTTTACAAGGCCCGTCAAGGCCGCTCACAAGGCCACTCACAAGGCCACTCACAAGGCCACCAGGTATCGGTCCGCAATGGGCCGTGCTCGTGCACCCAAGAAGCTATCTCCCGCCCGGTACCGTGCACCCGTCCAAGAAGGAGCGTCGGATGCGCCTCGTCTACCCGAATGACCAGGACGTGTGCTTGGAGTGCCGCAACCCCGCACTACTTTGCGACTAAGCTCAACCCGGCCAAGTACAAGTACGTCGCCAGCTATCTCTCGACTTGCGCCAATGGCATGCCTAGGAACACAATCCACAGACAAGGCGACAACACGCCACAAGTGCAGCTTCCGCAAGCGCAAGCGACTAGTGGGGACGACGCGTCGCAAGTGCAGCAGCCGCAAGCGCAAGCGACTACTCAAGCAGACGCGCCCGGCGCGATACCGTCGTACGTCTTACTCTCACTTTCGATGCACTATCTCTTACGTGCTATGTGTAGAATGGTCGAGGATGCGCTCGTAGAAGGAGCGAGAGGGCACCCTGCCGTCTTCGTACGGTCCGCGCCCTAAAGATCCTCTCGACGCAGCAAGTGGCCATCGTGGAAGTACACGCTGCCCGATGCGTCCTTGAGCCTTGGCTCGGTTCCAGACCCCGGCGCCTTTCTCTTTGGCGGCTGCGACGTCCACGTCTGGTGCCCGTTCACTTCCTACTCGCATCTCATCGACGTTGCCAATCGTGCCCGGCGTGCGGCAGCAAGTACCAACTCCGTAGCATTGCATAAACAATCCATTCATGTCATACAATTGTGCCAACTTCAGCGTCGCGCCGCCTGGAAACACCACAGTTGCCTACGCCGCAAGCTGATGCTGCGGAGTTACCGACGCAGAGTCGGCAACGGCGCGCAATGAGCAAATGGGTTACGTGTTGCTATGTGAGAGCGTGCTAGCGGACGGCGCTAGGACGATGCGGACATTCCGCCTCCATGTAGCATGAAGCGCCTCTGGCGGCGACGGCATGGGTGGCTGGCGCTGCGCCGACCGCGCGGCCTGGTGCGCCGCGACGCAATAGAATGCCAAAGCACGCCCTTGATATTTGATCGGCATGCCCAGTATTCGATTTCAAAGGATATAAAGTCTCAATAGAGCAATGCCAGTAACTCCTAAGGTCCCAATTAAACGGCGATACGCCCCCTCTGAAGGGTCGAGAGCTGTGATTCGTCGAAATGGTGTTTCTGCGACAGCCGGAACAGCATTCGATTGGCTGGATCTCCTCCTTCAAGAACCATGCAAATAGAGTAATTGCACACTATTTGTCTACCACGTAGTAAAGAAGGTGCCATTCCCGTTGGGCACAAGCATGGTTATCCGTACGCTGGGCTTCCCTCGGTCACATCAGTGCATTCTGTGAATCGTGATGAGGCATGTCGATCGCTTTGCATCATGCGGAAGATGCGCCTTATTATTACTCACGAGTCGACCAGCACAACCCACATCAACGCACACTATTTGCGTGCATTTTCGCCACCTTCAATTAATTGCATACAAATCCCAAGATAATTGAATGCACTCCACCATCACTTGTCCGGGTTGGGATTGGTCCATTGCAAAGTGTCGTGCGAGTGGTCAAAACGTGTGGCTTTTCAAAGATCTCTGGCCGACGATTGGCCAAAATCACGACTAACGGTGAATTCCGCGAGGGGCCAAATCACTACAACCGATTCCTGACGCAGCAGCATGCGCCAGTTCCTCCAGACGATCCTCAAGTCCGGGGCCGCGGTCGCGCCGAGCAGCGCAGCGTCGACCAAGACGATCGCCAAGGAGCGCCTGCAGATCATCCTCGCCCACCAGCGCGGGTCGCAAGCGCTCGCGGGCGTCGACCTTGGCGCGCTCCAAGAAGAGCTCTTGGCGTGCGTCCAGCGCCACATTGCCGTCGCCCAAGGCGAGAAGGTCAACATTGCCGGTACGCATCTCCATACATATCCTGCATACGATATATGCTCATGCGCCTACGACTCTAGTCAAGCAAGAGGGCTCGATGGACATTTTTGAAATGCAGGTTCCCGTGAGCGCCTTGCCGGTGCGGGCGACGACGCCGTGAAGCCGTGGAAGCTAATGTACTCTTTATCGTTGTCATCACGTGCGCTATATGGCCGTCAGTACGGGTAGTAGTCGTCGTACGGTAGCGCCTAGGACAGACGTGAGCGCTGATGTCGATCGGCCGCTGGTTGTACGACCTGCAGGTTGCTAATGCTGTCCGGAATCCACGTGACGCGCACGATGGGCATGTTGTACTGCGTCCAGAGCTCCTTGCACGTCGATGGCGAGAGCGACTTGGACACGATCCCGACCGTCGTCGCGCTTGCTTGTGGTTTCTCGTGCAGACCTTTGGCAAAGACAAAGCCCTCGAACGTGCCACCAAACGCAACGACGAGCGGTTCGAGCTGCATGGCCGACTGCGGCTCGAACGACGTTGTCGGACACAGCTGCACGAAATGCATGTTGGCAAAGATGTGCGTCGTACTTGGCTACGTACACTGCATCACCCACAACCTTGTCGATGGCGTACCTGTGGCGCGAGCCGAGACCGGCGTGGCTGTCCCGTAGCACTCGAGAAGACATCGCCGTCCATCTCAAACGGCGTCTCGTCGACCCAGTAGCCGGCGGCAGCACTGGCCTCCACCCATCTAGACGCCCCATCCCGTTCAGACAAGAGAAAGTCTGCTCGTCGGTCTACCCAAAGTCGACGATCCAGCAGTGGTGGGCGAGACCAAGCATGTACTTGACGCTGCGTGTACACCGTCGAGGTTGTGCCGCCTTGGTGATGACGTGCGTGACGTCGGTCATGAGGCGCCTAGCCATATTTATGCATAAGACGTCTGCAGCTAAACCGAGTGGTATGGTCTTGAGCCGTACCCAGTTTTGGGGTCCAGGTAGCGGGCAAAGTCCCGTCCAAATCGAGCGTTTCCCAGATCTTCGAGGCTCTCCAGCAGCATGCGCTTCTCTTCTTTTGACAAGTCGGCGGCCACGAATCGCTTGGCGGCGTGGGCGCTATGCGCTGGTGTACATGGCCGTGGCGCGGGTGCTGGAATGGCCTCGGGCAGCTCACTGCAGAGCTGCGACTGCGACATGGCATGGACCGGCACCTCGGTTTCTTCCATGCACGGGTCATACGTCGTCTGTCGCTCGGTCTCGTCGACAGCTTCTTCGTCATCGTCCTCAGCATCTGCATCGTCTTGCGGGCGAGGGACGGGGCTTGGTGGTTCGGGAGACATTGGCTGCGTCGAGGGAACCATGACCGCATGCAGCGTCACCGGTGTGGTTGAGAACGCACGCTTGGTCGGTGGTGACTTGGGTACCAAGATGATCGACTTTGTGTTGGGTGGCAGGGCGTCTGCTGGTGGTGGAGTCGATGCCGATGGCTCCGCTACGTTGGCAGCGATCGACGGTGGTGCATCTGCCATGGGCAATGTCGGCGGTGCTGCAGGCGGTACGGGTATCGACGACACGATAGGACTCTGGGGCATCGCAATGCCGCGACGCAACTGGCTCGGTGGAGCAAGTTCGGACTCGGGGGGAAAGGAATTCGAGGGGGTACTCGCCGCGGAAAAGTCCAGAGCCCCCGCGACCGACACTTGCGAGCCGTCGTCGACGTTCTGACCTAGTAGCCGAAGGTGATCCATGTACGTCCGGATTTCGGGCGTCGTCATGAGCGGGGCAAGTGCATTTGGTGGTGTCGCCGGTGTCGATGCCACCGTCCGCGCCGGGCTTGGCCTTTCCTGGGCCGCATCGACCGGTCGAATCAGGTTTCTTGGTTCCTCGACAGCAGCTGGCGGCGGTGTTGCGATGATCAACGCGCTTTGTCGCTCGGCGACGATCAAGGGGTTGGCGGTGGGAACCGTGGGAAGCATCGGGTACAGCTCGGGCGACTCGGTCTCGAGACTCTCGGACTGGGGCGAGGACGAGCTTGGCGACGCAGGCGCAGGAGGCAACGTGATGGCGTGAGGCAACGTGGTGGCGGGAGGCAACGACGCTGCCGCCTGGATCTGTGGCGACGGCTCGTCCTCGATCGAGAGCCTGCGCTTGGCGCTACTCGGGCGACTCGCGTCGATGGCGGCTTCGACAAACTTCCACTCGGCGACAAGGCCGTCGAGAAACTGGTTGCGCCGGACGTCCGTCGGTCGGATCGGGATCGAGCAGCGCGCGCACTTGGACACGGCCTTGCGCAGCTCGTTCTCGACGCAGACCCTACAAGCACGGTCGACCATGGAGCGCATGCGACGACGCGGACCTGCAAAAGTTGTGGTTGCATGTCAAGCACTGCGGGTCTTCCAGCACGCGCTTGCTACACGCAAGCATGAGCCATAGCCTCGTCCGGGCGATCGCACCAGATGAAGCACTGGAGCTCGTCGCGGATGATCTCGAGCTGCTCCAGCATCGGTGCGTCCATTTTGTCGAAATGGTCCTAAATGGAGCTGTCTGGAATTCGGGTTGACTAAATGGACGCCACTTAAGTTCTGAATAAGGCCGGAAGGACTCAAGGAGGCGAGCCCACGGAGTCCAGCAGTTCATAATGCATCCCTTAATACTTTTTCAGGTGAACATACCCTTGCATGCGCGATGACAACAAGTTGAGACGTCGAGCGCTCGCTCGCATGGATATTAAGTGGCGTTGGATCAGCGATGGCCATGAGGTTGAAACGGGGGGATCCTAATTAGGACGCCGAATCCAGGCCCCAATCGCATTTTGGCGCGAACGGACGTTTGGATCGCCACCAGACTGACCAGACTTTGCCTTGTCGGCAGAGTGCTTCATGCTGCCTGGCAGCAGCCAGCTCTCATCGCCGATGACGATGAGAGAAGGCAGCTCAAATACGGCCAAGTCGTCACTAATTCCTCTTGCGTGGCGTGTGCGTGCAAGTGCAGCTCGTCGGCCAACACTCCAGGTGTACATGTAGATTGATTGACATGGCCACCAAAGGAGAAGCAGAATGGCAGAATGTGGGGATTAGTGCGGTGGTACTGTCTCGTACAACAGATCGTGACTTGGACCAACGACATTATGTCCTTGGTAACCCCTTTTATTTCTCGTATATGCTTCGACGGGGGCAGAGGTTGAGGAAATTAATTAAGAGTTGAACGAAATCTTGTTTGATTACCGATGTGTCAAAAAGCTTTTTTCTTTGCTAGTACATGGCTATGACAAGATGATATTGGTCAGTGTAACTATGACATAAGAAAGCATCATATTAGCCGATTCTCCAAGACGGAGTCTCGACAGTCAAGGATAAATTCATTGTCCTCATCCCAATACACATTCTTGTGCTACAGCTAATTCTCCAATCGTTGTTCAGAATTATGAAAAAGTTACTCTAAGTTTGTCGCCATGATAGCAAATCAATCTGACAGGGATAATTTGGTTCATCACCACAACGATAGTCAGCTACGCTACTTGTTCAATCGGAAATAAATGGAATGGACGATGTAAGATCAGTAACGAACCGTGTGACGGGTTCTGAGAACAAATTTCTTCATCGACAGCTTGTCTAAAAGCGAGCTGGGTGTATAATGTCATCATGTTACACATCCATTCCATAAAATGCACAAAATCGTTTGAAGATCATACCCAACTCTGTTAAAGAAGGGCGAAATGCGTCTCATCACCTCTTTCGAATATGTCTGGGGCGGCGCACATGTGTTGTGATAATCACTTCTTCAAACGACACAATATACAAAATCCATGAAAAACTACTAATATGGAGATCATACCCAACTCTGTAAAAGAAGGGCGAAATGCGTCTCATCACCTCTTTCGAATATGTCTGGGGCGGCGCACATGTGGTGTGATAATCAATTCTCCAAAATTCAACTATCAATATACAACAATCAATCGAAAAAGATGTTTCATCCCTAATTCTGCCCTCTTGAAGTGAAAGGTAAGAGCGCAAACTCAACGGGAAGGTTCGCTGGTATAAACATTCACTTTAGCAGCCAGCAGTAGGATGCACGACGAGAGAGCGTCGGCAACTGTCGCAAGAGTGGCTGCAGATCCTATCTACGGCGCAAATTCAAAACTGACCACTTCCTTGAAGCGCGCGTTGCGTTGCGCCACTCGAAATTGACTGGCTGTCGAGCGATTGGCTATTTCAGGATCCGTATAATTTCGCCATTATCCGGTAAAACCAAACTTCGAAGGAGAGAACGTCGTAGGCGCCGTGGATCGTCTTCGACAGCGAAAGGGCGCGCTCGGTCGACCCGATCCCAAGCATGGCCATGCGTCGCTGCTTTGACTAGCGGTAGACGCGCCCAAGCTTGGTCCAGTAGCATCGAGCTGCTCGTAGTCGCAGGCAGGGATACCGTGCTGCACTGGAGCTCCACTCGACATAATACCATGTCGCCATCAGCAACGGTATTCGATTAACAGTAAATAAGACAAAGAAGAGGTGCGCGCCGCTACGGAGCGACAATGACGCGCTTCGTCATGTGCTTCATGGTCGGCGAGCCCGGCGACCGGAGAGGCAGCACAGCGCGGTCGTGCGGCGTCGCGTGGTCCTTGTTGGTCAACCAGAGAATCTCGAGCGACGTGCGCGTGGCAATGAGCTTGGAGGCGCCGTACACTTGGTTGTTGACGGCGAGCGACCACGGCGGCAGCGGTCCCGGGAGGCGCGGGCCGGCGTGCCCCTCATAGTTGCCACCGGCGCCCGTGGTCACATAGACAGTGCCTTTGGCCTCGTCAATCTTGTTTTGGTAAATGGGCGCCGTGCGCTCGTAGCCGTGCACGTGCCCGGCAAGGACCACGTCGACGCCAAATTGCGCGTAGAGCGGCTCCAGCTTGGCCTGGAGGCCGCAGTGCGGCTCAAACATGGGGTGGCCCTTCACGTACACGCCGCGCCAGCACGCGTCCGGGTCGGCAATCTCAAAGCGCGCGTGCGAGCACTGGCACTGGTGGTCCTGCCACGTGTTGTAGTACGGGTTGTGCTTGATGACAACGACCCACGGCGTCTTATTCCGGTCGACGCGTCCCAAGTCGTTGGCGAGCCACGTGAGCTGGCGAGTGCGGGCGCTGAGCCACGCTGCCGTCCCGACCGAGTTAGTCGCGCTCCCGACAGACCCGACATAGTCGTCGAGAAACACCAAATGCACGAGCCCCACATCAAACGAGTAGTACGTGCGCTTGGCGGCAATGCTCTCGGGTGTCAACGGTGTCACGACGCGCTGTAGGTACCCGAGATAGTTTTCACCGAGCATGTCCCACGCCAGCGGCCGCGGCGCCGCGTGCCCCGACCCGACGACAGTCTCGTGGTTCCCCGGAATGCCCAGCGTCGGCACCGATCGAAACACGCCTTCTTGGAGCTGAAACCACCTGTCCCAAATCTCGTGCTCGCCGTTGGCGTAGGCGTAGTCCCCAGCGACAAGCAGCGCGTGCGGGTGGAGCCCGTTGATCGGCGCCGCGAGCATCTCGAGCGTGGCCGAGCTCTCGGTCGTGTCGCCCGGGTCGCCCACGACTGAAAGCACCGTAGGCGTGTCGTCGCCGACTGCGGGTGGCGTGAAGAACGAGCTGTTCTTGTCGCCGTTGTGGATCGTATACGTGTACTCCGTGTTGGGCAACAGCTTGCAGAGGTACGCCGTGTGCAAATGCGGCGACGCATAGTGGTACCGGCCATGCGCAACGGAGTACGAGCTGCTTGGGCGTGTGCTTACAACCCACGTCTCGGTCGAGCCGGCGGGCGCGTAGTGGACGTGATACGGGTCTGGCGTCGCGCTCGCAAACGAGATGGCGACGCCGTTCGCGCAGCTTTGCACGTCGTTGGTCAAGGCCAAGTGGACCTGCGACGCCGGGCGCAGCGCCAGCGCCGCCGACGCGAGAAGAAGAAGGCGCGGCAACATGGTCAATCGCATAGTGCTCGCGTCGGTGCTGCGAGACGGCGGCGATGGGCGGCGACAACGACATCGCGTCGCCCAATGGCATCGCGCGAAGAGAGTGTGGATTCGCTTCTAAAAAATATTATGCATGGTCACATACAATGATCAAGATGTTGTTGCATTATAATGTAGCCAATCAACGCGCCGATGAATCTAGGAATCGAAATCTAGAATCTCGGCGGCGGGCGAGGACCGTTATGGACCCACGCAGCAGAACGTGGATGCATCGTGGAGGAGAACACCGAGGAAGCCGTCACGAGGTCAGAAATACTGATGGCTCTGGCTCGTGGACTTGCTGCATCGAGCCCGCGACCAACGAGCTGATGGCTATCGTCTATCCTTTTGAGGCCACCGGCAACGGCGACGATGACATTCTTAACGCGGTTCAACGCTCTCTCAATAGCGCGGACGGTTGACCGAGTTTGACCCTCGCTTGATACTCACCGGTGCAGGAGCTTGAAGGAGTTTTGAATCTAGTTGCGTAGCTGGTCACTGCACGGCCATCGTCAACGTTCCTGACCTAGCTTGGGTGCCACGAGACGTTGGGTGCAGCAGTATGGGTATCGCAGCTGCACGTTAACAAAGAAAGAAACACGGATTCGACGGACTTTCATGTGAAATGACATCAAAGCTCCCACCGATATAGTGTGCGATTGATAGCTACCAAAGCTGAGTCTTGGGCTGCACATTATGGCGGTACGAGCCAGCATTGCGCACGGAGATGGTGGCCATGGCTTGCCGTGCGTACTCTGTTTTGGCCAGCCCTGCGTCCTAGGTAAAATAGTATGCAGCAAAAGCCAACCGAGAGGCCACGTTGCTGTACCTGCAGCGCCAGACCGAGCTTAAACCGCGCGTCCTTGAAGAGTTTGTCCGTGTCATAGCCGTGGGACGGGAATAGGCCCGACTCCTATGCTCCAAGTCGAGCCTTTTTCAATCAACACGGAGGAATACATGGACGCCTAGCGGCTCCTGGGCTGCGTCGACGTTGGCCTGAAAGGCGACTGTGGGCTGCCGCGTTCTTTCGGGATCGATCTACCGCACACGCATTCTAGTACAAAAGTCTTTTCGCCGTGATGGCACCTGGATTTCGGCCAGCTTGGCCGCGTACGGTGTTTCCAGCTTGAGCGCTTCCAAGGCCTGTCGTCGTGCCGCTTCTTCGTCTTGCTAAAATTCAAATGACTTCTCTGTGAGCCAGAACCAACAGCGATGAGTGTACCTGGCGCTGTAGCTGTTGCTTTTGCAGCTCTGTCTTGTGCTAATGACGTACATACATCCTCTGCCCCTCGATTGTTGGTGCTCAGGTATTACCTCCCACTCGTCCATGCGGTGTTGGACACGCTCGGCATTGATCACGGCTTGCGCGGCCTTGGCTTCGTCTTCGCGCGCCCGTGCGACCGCCGCCGCCTCTTCGTCTGCGATGGCACCGAGCTCTTGCCAACCCCTGGGCACGATCGCCGTTGATGTGCCACATTGTGCACATCAATGCGAAAAGTAGCGTACTTGTGCTCCTGCACCAACTTCTTCTTGAGCTCGTGTTCCTTCTTGCGCTTGGCCTCCATAGCTTCCTGGAGTGCTTGGGCCTCGAGGCGAGCAATCTCGCTCTGGTGCGCAGCCATCTCGGCCTTGACGTTGCGTTTGAGCTGGAAGCGCGCCACCTTTTCATGCAAGACGGCTTGTGCTGCGGCGCGCCGTGCGAGCTCGGCTTGGCTCGACTGTCGCGCTCGATGCGTCTCGATCGCATCGGCGAGCTGCGTTTTAGCCTTCTCAAAGATGTGTGAATGTTGTCGCGTGTAGTCGGCCTGTCTACACGGCCGTTGGCAAACCCTCTTTAGCGAGACGATGAGGTACCGCTCTTGGGTCTGTTGCAGATGCCGCCGATGCGTTCGGTGCCATTGGTCATGGGCTGCCAGATCCTTTCTTGACCTTTGCGGTAGAAGAGGCTCGAGGCGCTTGAGAAATGCTTCGTTGCGAATGCCTTTGGGCTCGCAGTCTTTAAACACCTAACCCGCACAGAAAATGTCGCATTTTTGCGGCGAGGATGATTTAGGTGTACTTTGAGATACCGCTCGTGGTCCTCGTCGGTCCAGCCAGGATGCTTTGGCGGCGTCGCAGTTACTTGCTCCACTGCGCAGCCATATGCCGCCATGCTGGCCCGGTACCCCTCTTCAAGGCCGGCAAGGTCCTATCCACACAGATCAAACCTTCATCCCAACGCGTGCCGCCACCGCTTCAAGCTGGGTCTGCAGCGTCTCAAACTCAAGCAGGAGGTTGTATTTGAGAATCGGGTCGACACCATCGCTGAGAGCCTCGTCTTCATCTCGCTGGGGTTGAGTCGCGGCCATGAGCTGTGTCCATACGTCTACATGCGCTAGGCTTAGTGTCCGAATGTATAGAGTGGCGTACCTTCGGTACTCGCACCAGGTGTCGTCACACCAGCGGTGCGATGCTGACGGCAAAGCGCTTGGCAAGCCACTTGAAGCTCCTTCTCACAGGCCTCGGCCTCGGCGCTGAGCTGCTCGGTAAGCATATGATGCCCGACAATCGAGTCGAGCATGAGATTTTGCAGTTGAATCTAGTGCAGCTGCTTGGGCGACAAACCGTTTGGTACGAACGTACCTTGACTTGACTATACCAGGTGGGGCCTTTGGACGGTGCTTCGGCTTGAATCGATGCGAGAAGGCGACGCATGGTATTTCGCTAGGTACCCATGAGCTTCACGGAGACATCGCCACAACACGTACATTATCTCGGTCATTTTGGTGCACATTCAGCTGCCCCAAGCGCTGCGTTTGCATCTCGGTGACAGCCGCAGCGATTACCGCTTCATACGAGTGGTCGTGGTGGTCGTTGACTACATGTTTCGACTGATAACTACAACGAGGTCATGAAATGGTACCTGGGAGCTCGGAGTTGACGAGCCGCAAGACAGTCGCATCGACGTCTTTCGTTGCCGTCTACCAGGGTTTCAGGCGCTAAGAGCGTGCAGAAGCTGCATGCGACGGCTACCTGCTCTATCTTTTTAAGGTGCATGTGGTCGTGAAGCCATTGAAACTACGCAACATCATGAGCGCTTGCATGCTCTGTGCGTTCAACCTTGGCCGTCGACTCCTTCGACGCTTGCTTTTGCTTTTGAGAACGCGACTTCATGTTTTGAATCGTCTAGTATCGCCTTGTCGATAGCCAGTTGCGAGGCAAGATGAGGCAAACCTCGAGAACGTTGTTGCCCGTGGTCGCCACCGAGTGCGCCAAATGGCTCTGCTCGTACAGCGAGAGACCCGCTGTGGCTCGAAAGAGCTTACTCCGAACCGTCGACTCTTTGGTCTTCTTGCCTACGACGTCATGAGCGTCCGAGGGTGAGGACGGGGTAGTCTACCCTTCACGTCGCCGCCCAATGTCATGGGTTCGAAACTGCCAAACATTGGTTAACTAGAGCCTTTGACAATATCTGTAGCTTTACTAGTAGCTCTAGAATCAGGACTGCGTGTTGCACAATGCACCTCTAAGTGTGCACAGACCAGGCAGCTCGGCTTCAAGCATTTTGACGGCGGCTTGGCTTTTGGCGCCAGGCGGCTGCTATTATCCGGAGTTTATCCGGATATGATCGACCGTTTCGCCATTTTCAATTCCGCCGATCGCCGAGCAAGATGGGACGTCCGGCCTTGCGCGATATGACCAATGACCCCGGACCTCATGGAGCCCCGCGGAAGCGCAAACTGATGGTGGACATGGGGAAGGAGCGCCTCATGATGATGGAACGTGGAATGGCCTCAAAGGAAGCACGCACGAAGCTCCATGGGGTCGGCCTTGCCAAACCCGCCTCAAGCAAGGAGACGAGCAGCAACGCGTTCTTCCTGCGGCTCCTCATGGAGACGCCAGCGGTGCAGGAAGCGAGCTTGCGCAAGATGCCCCAGCACCGCCGGACGAAGAAGTCGCGCAGTCGATTGAGTCTCGTCCATGGCGACGAGCGCCGCCGACTCGCCTTTGAGGACATAAGCGACGACGAGAGTTTGTCGGCAGGTAGCTCTCCATGCATGGCGCGAGACCGCGAGCATGGATACGAAGCATCATCATCGAACCAGGGCTGTCGCCAGCCTACGTGGCTCCTTCGGCGCACCATGGTCGTCGATCGCAGTAAGTGGGACGAGATCTCATGCTATTGCGTAGGCACTTCGGTCGTACAAGGGGTTCCATCCACGAGCAGCATGGGTACGTAAATCATTGCAGTATTTGAAACTAAGATCTATGCTAGACATCAGCGCATCGTTGCACTCGCACGTTCACTCGACCCTCAACCTCTCGCTGGACGATCTCTCCATGGCAGAGCTCATCCCACCCGAACGCCCTGCACGTACGTCTCGACAGTCGACTTTCGAAGAGAGACAAAGCCGACGTAGTGATGAATCTTTCCATGAACGATGAGGACGAGCGATGCGACGCTGTGGCGGACGCACCACCATCACGTACGTTGATGCTGCGTATGAAGCGAACCTTACCAACCATAGACCAAGGACTATTGTCGTCCCGCCCACATCCAAACCCATCCTGCAGTATTTCGAGCTTCTCAAGCCATGCCGAGATGAGCGACGCCCCCCACATGGCGCCACCTCGTCGAGCGCATGCGACCCACAAGCAAGCAAAGCCCTCGCCTGCCGTCAAGGCTGCTCCGATCGGCAAGCCCAAGATTGCCACCAAGCCTCGGAGGCAGCCACCGCCCGCCAAACGCCCACCGTCACCACAACGGACGAAACCCAAGACGACATCGTCGCTGCCCCAGCGCGATCGGCTCTCGCAGGCGTTTTTGCAGCGTCCGTCGCCGCCATCGTCGCCACCTCGCCGGACTGCCGCCACGTACCGCTTGGACCGAAACAACCTTTGTTGCTTGCAGCAATTATTTCTCGTGTAAGACGAGTTAGCGCGTCGTGTTGCGCGGGCGCACAAACATCTCTTCCTTGGTCTCTTCCATAAAGTCTTCTTGCTGGTTGCAGACGCGGAGAATCTCCTTCTTGCTCGGCTCTTGGAGGTTGCCACCAATGAGGAGCTCGTCCAGGATATAATACGCTTTGTGAAAGTTGAAGATGATGTCGAGCTCGCACACGTTGCCAAAGTACCGGTCGAGGACTTCGACAAACAAGTGGATGATCTCGAGCGTAATGAGCTCGTTCTCTTCCTTGGAGATGCACGCGACAAAGTACAAGCTCGCATACCTACAGCCTCGTCATATTCCGCATGCTCATGGCTTCGTCGCATAGGTAGCTACCGCTTGTAGACGATCTTCTGGTCCTTCCACTCGATAAAGTTGCACTGCTTCTGCGGCCGGCCGAGCACGAGCGACGTCACGTCGCGGATGATGCGCGCCTTGTCCTTGAGGGGCACCGCCGAGTACCACTTGGAGAGGCGCGTCTTGCCTTGGCGGCTCACGAGCAGCATGAAGTCGATCTACATGTCCATCTTGAGCCGCCGCCCACGACGCAGGATGGACGCACCATGATGCTGCGGCAAACACTTCGAAGTGAACTCTGGCCGCAACACGCAGGTATGCATTTTGACGGGTTTATCCGGATGTCAGACGTATCCGGATGATATGACGTGGCAATCTCAAACGCGCCGATATTAGCGTGTCGTCGACCCAGGTGACGGTCATCGGGCTCTTCCACCAACGGCTTTAACCTGCACACGCAATACAATTAGAGGAGTGCCATTAGCGACGTCCACGATGACGTGCGAGAGCTGCAAGGCCCCGGGACCAGCAGGCGGTGCTAGACGTTACCGTATGAGGAAGAGCGCGTACGGAAGTGCGGCCGAGGTGGTTTGTTTTTGGTTTTCTTTTTGTTTGATTTTGTTACCAAGCTAACGACACTTGGAGCATCCCGACGTAGCCTTTCCGGTCCGGCACCTGCGCAAAGTTGTAGCCCTCGGCTGCAAGAAAGCGCTCGACGGCCGGCTTGAGACGCACGTGGTGCGAGTGGTGGCCCGACCCCGTCACAATGCAGATCGTCTCGGCCGTCACCGTCGGCAGCAGCTGCGACAGAAGCTCGAGCGCTTCGGCCACGTGCAGCCCGTGCAAGTCGAGGAGCCCGTCGCGCTCGTAGCTTGGGTTGCGCGCTTCAAAGATGAGGCTCGCAGCTTCGTAGTGCGCGTCCTTCATTTGCGCATTGTACGTCTGCCCTTGGCGCGAGAGGTCCTTCGCAAGGCTCTTGTTGCCCCTACGTATGGATAAGACTGCTGGCGTCGACATTGGATGCTAACTGGCGGTAGGCGTGCGTCGCATTCATAAAGCACTGGTTGCGCGCCAGCGCCAAGTCCCGGGCGCGCTCCCGCGCCTGCTTGTACTGCGCCGACACTTGGTACCCCGTATCGACCCAGCGCGTGGCCACGGGCTGCGAGAGCGACCGGGTAAACAGCGGCGTCTACAAGTCAAAGTACTGAGGTTGGCCACATGGAGCCGAAGCGTGTACGTGGCGGCTGCTCGAGGTCGACGACGACGCCGACGGGAACGCTGCGTCGGGCTTCATCGAGAGCGCGCGCGCAAAGTCGAGCGAGAGGCCATCGGTCGAGGCCAACGGCGCCTTGGCGCTCGTCAGCGACGGAAAGTTGGTCGGCTCCAAGTTGTCGCGCATGTCGATCCAGTCGTCTTCTTCGTCGCTCTCTTGCGGCTGCTCCTGGCGCGCGCCGTACTCGACGATCGCCATTTCAAATGAGTGCGCAAACGCACACTCGTCGCCTTGGAGGCAGCCACCGCGGATCCAGTACCGGCACGTAATCAAGTGCGTGTCATGGAGAAACTAGCGAGGACTCAGCGTGACGACGAGTCCTCCTGGACGTACCCAGCAGTCGGCACGGCGGCACTCGCCTTGCAGGTAGTGGCGGCACACTTGGGCGTTCTGCTTTTGCGCCTCCGAATCGACAATAGCTTGCATGACGCCCTGGCCATCGACATCTCAGATCTCAGTGGCAGGGCGGACAACCGACCTGCGCGCGGTGCACGTCGAGCTCGACCTCTTTGAGCAGATCGAGGAGTCGCTCGGGGTCCATGGCAGGAAACACCGAGAGCAGTTGTTCCACGAGCTCGTACGCGATCGACCAGTAGAACGCGTCTTCGTCGTCCATGTCGACCTCGGCCCCGCCGTCGTCAGGCACGACCACGTCCTCAAACTCGGGCTCGAGCGACAAGGTGGGCTCCTGCACACGATCGAGGCGTCAAGGTGACGACGATATGATGGAGTTGGTGGACGTACGGCGCCCCACGGCACGTAGGCCGACGCCGTTGCATTCAACTGCGGCGACGCGGTCGAGGCGTCTTCGGCGTCGAGCAGCGCCAGCTGGTGCGGGTCCTTTACGTACAGGAGAAGCTCGTCGACAAAGTTCTCGGCGGCAGCCTATGGCGCCATGAGGCCGTGGCGTCGAGCGAGCGTCGTACCTGCTGCGAGTCGTCGAGCCAGCCCATGAGGAGCTCGAGCACCTCGGCGCGCTTCTCGTCTTCTTCATCGGCGTCGGCGCCATCGAGGCGTAGCATGCCGAGGACATAGGGCGCGAAGACGCTGTCGACGCCGAGGCCCGTGAGCTGCTGGGCCGTCCACGCGGTCACGGCCATTGCCTGCGCAGAATTTTAATCACTGGCATCGTCTGTTCACCATGTACCTTGCAGTTTGTATACATTACATGGGCATTGATACAACACCCTTCATATAAGTTTGCCACAGAGGACGAGGGAGAGAGCGGTCGACTTTCGCGCGTCGGCGTCGGGCGAAGGTAGAGTCGATGCATCCACCAAGTATGTAAATGAGTAGATTCATAAAGGCGGAAGTGACGCGATAGCGAGGTGGACAAGTGCAAAGTGCAAAGTGCAATGTCAGCAGGTCGACCAACGCAGACAGACACCGCTACATTCTCATGGCTGAGGGTAGGGTGTGTGTGGTTTATAGTCCAACTCGCATAGGCTTTCTACTCTCGGCGCGACTCTTGAGGCGCCATGGCCGAGGACTAGTGTCCCCAGTAGGAAGCAGAGTCGCCTCTGATGCACGGTGCATCGCCAATATTGACGGGCTGGCGGCAATCAATTCCCACGGAAATTTCGTCGAATGCGCACGAATGGTACAAGAAAATAAGACATTGTTCTTATTCCTTGACCTAATCGGCCACTGCAGCTCATTTTGAATATGTACAATATCGCAATAGAAGCAAAAGCAGGAGCGTCATCGGACGCTTGAATAGTGGCACAACGTAGTGTATATCGGAGCGGGATCGATCGACGTTATTAGTCTGTCACCGAACAGCGTCTAAAAGCCGTGGTATGTTCGCAAAGCGGGGCGCAGGATCGACGGTTTGGCTTTGGCGTGGTCGCGGGCGGTCTGATGCACTTGCATGCGCGCGGCTACCATCTTTCGCCGCACGGTGCGCACAAACTTTTGCGCGCGGAAGCAGCGAAAGCGCCGCTGGATACGCATCGCGGCCGCGTGTCGCTCGGCCAGCGTTGCCGCGTGGGCGTCTTCGCGTGCCGACCGCGTTGGCACATGATTGGATAGCTTTTTGCTGCGCAAATCCAAAGCCGATCCTTTGGTTGTCATCGACGTTGCGTGTACGTGTTGTGCCGCCAAGTTGTCGAGCATGCCTTGACGACTGCGCACGCGAATGTCATTTTTGATCTCTTCAATCGTCTACACCCGCAGGTCAAAACGACAACACACGATGACGGCACAGTACTTGGTGGCCGTCGGCGTGCGTGACGAGCACGCGTCGATTGCTCGAGTTGGCGCAGGCGCCGGTGCCCCCCGAGAGGTGCCATGCGTTGCGCATCATGAGCTCAAAGTAGTCGTCGCCGTCGATCGACGCGCTAATGCCCTAAACCACGTCGATACCGTCGTGAAATGTACCGTAAAGCGAGAAAATACGGTACGCGGTAGTATGTTTCAAACTCGGCCAGCGAGACCGTGCCGTCGCCATCGAGGTCCCAGTGCTGCATGAATTGCACCAGTGCATCGCGTGGTGTGAGTCGCCCGGCGACCACATCGGGGTGGTGCGTCACGTCAAAGCCCTTGCGAAGGTCGTCGATCGTGACTTGCCCGTCGCCGTCGACGTCGAGAACGCTGTACGCTTGGTGTATAAGCGCTCGTCGGCGGTCGTTGAGTTCGCCTCGAAGCCCGGTGAGGAGTTCGTCAAAGCTGATGGTGCCGCTGTGGTCGGTGTCGAGGAGTGTCATGAGCTGGTCGATGTCGTGCAAATGAATCTCAATGCCGTAGGTCTCCAAGCCAGATTTGAGTTCGTTCTTGGTGAGTTTGCCATCGCCGCCGTCGTCCCAGATGCGCATCACTCTAAGTGTACCGTCAAGGATGGACACTACGCAATGTGCAATAGGTATACCGCTGCACTGCGTGGATGCCAGCAGCGCCGCCCCGTGCTACGATCTTGGCTTTGAGTCGATCAAGGACGTTGCCAGCAAGGACGCCCGTCGCCCGAGGCGGGGCGCCAAAGCGAGAGGTAAACCGCGCGTGCAGAGCCGGAATGTCGATCACTTGAGACCCTACCCCTTGCACGCTAGGTCAAAAAGTTATGGACATAGATGGCACCCGAATCGTCCATCGCGCGGGCAATCACGAGGGCGTCGCGGGACGAGAGCATCTTGTCTCGCTTGCTCAAAGCCGTGGCAAAGGCCTTGAGATGCACGCGCTCTTGCCCGCTGCCGAGAACGCGGTTGGCGCCAAGGCGGTGGGCGAGGCCGTCGACGGTGCACGGCGGATCGAAAAGCGTGTGCTTGACGTACGCCAACGGGTCTTGCAGTCGCGTCGCAAAGGCGTCGGTGTGCTTCTCTTCGTGCGCGCGGCGTGGCGTGAGTGTGGCTTCGACGACGCGCTACCAAGCGAGCATTTCGAACATTGAAATAAAGAGCAATAAAAAGTACTTGGTTGCCGTCGGCGTCTTCGTGGAGCACGCGCTTGTTGGCCGAGTTGGCACACCAGCCGACCCCGCCGGAAATGCGCCACGCATTGCGAATCATGAGCTCAAAGTACGCATCGTCGTCGATCGACGCGCTCACATTCTACGCCATTTTAGCAATTAAAAAGCGCTCGTTTGGTTTGTTCAAAAGACAACAGTGTACCTGGTAGTAGTGCTCAAACTCGGCGAGCGTGATCACACCGTCCTTCTCGTCCGTGTCCCACTGCGCCATAAACTCGGAAAGGATATCGTCGGCAGCTTTTTCACCGCTGATGAACGCCGGGTGCTTGGTCGTATCGTAGAGTTCACGGACGTCGTCAAGGGTCACGACGCCGTCCCCGTTGACATCGAGCTTTTGAAACGCGAGGCTGATCATCGCAAGGCGCGCGGGCGCGATAGGTCCGCGTAGTGCGAGGAGAAACTCATCAAAGCTAATCGACCCGTCGCCGTCACGGTCGAGCGCGCTCATGATAGCATCGACCTCCGCCGGCGAACAGTCGACACCAAAGTCCCGGAGACCAAACTGCAATTCGTCGCGGCTCAAGCGACCGTCACGGTTGGCGTCCAACGCTCGCATCGTTCGACTGAGCGTATGAATACCGGCATGGTCACCACTACGCTGTAAGAGCACAGCTTTTACGTGAGCGAGAAGGGCGTCCCTACGCGCGATAGGATGAGTAGAGAAGACTAGATCGTTAGCGTCGTACGGTGCAGAAGACTCATTTTTCGATCGCATCGACGCTTGTGATCCCCGGCTTTTGGACGTATGTAGTGGTGTAGACGGGGCCTGGTTGCGCGACACGGACGTCAACGCCCGACTGGCAGCAGTCGGAGGTCGACTGGCAGCAGTAAGAACGCGCGACGTGCTTGACCGATGCGTGGAGCCCGTGCTCGGTCGTGCGGTGCCAAGCCGGGTCGGCGGCACTTGGTTGGACGCTGGGCGACTCACCATCGATGCCCGCCCGCCCGACGGAATGCTTCCGCGACTCGGCGCCAGACGTTTCTGGGTCTGGGCGGTGCCAGGACGCTTGTCATGGTTGCTTTGGTTGCTGGTAGGATGGGCAGAGTACGCGCGTTCTGACTTGAGCCTTGCACCGCCCGCCACGGACGACGAGGCTGTTACAGGCCGTAAACTGTGCGTGCTCTGGTTCGACGCAGGTCGACCGTACATGGCTTTGCTGACGGTCGACGCACGGGTGCTCGCCGTCGCTGGTCGATCATCGTGGCGGCTTTGGTTGGAGGTGGGGCGACCATACATCGGCTCGGACGCCCGGCTGCTGGACCAACCGCCTCGACTCGGCGTCATCGCCAGCGATTGCTTTTGAAACACAAACGACACGCGACCTTGGGTGCAGAGCCACTCGCCAAGGGGAAGAAAACCGAGGCGAATGTCCTCGCCGCGCGCCATGGCATCGGTGAGCACGCGTCGAATGACATCAAGAAACGCCTCCACACAGTGCTCGTCGAGACGCTGGATCCGTGCTGCGTGGGCAAGATTGAGCGTTGGCGCCAGCCGCACTGGTGTTTTGGCAAACGCGACGTCGACAAAGGTGCTCGGAGGTTCAAACTGGAGTAAGCGCTCGAGGCGAATGGGGACGCGTCGATGCACATGGTCGCAAAGGCCGTCGACGAGACACTTCCAAAGCTGGACGCTGGCCGGCAGCGACAGCCCTGGCGTGGCTTCACTTGCAGCTTGGACGACGTCGGCCGTCACGACACTTGCGCGGGCTTGCATGATTGACGTTTCTCAACTGCTCGCACTGAAAAAACGCTTCCTCAATATGTACCAACGTCGCCATTTCTTCGATACGGACGCGGGTACATTCAACACGACGCAAGATGGAGTAGACATTGACAAACACCACTATACGATGTATAGTGCGTGTGGTTTGGACCCTGCTGTAGACGCAAGCAACGATATACCGGCGCGGGTTGCTAACCCTACACCTACCCTAACCACATCTCAGTCTATTTTGGCGCACATCAGTGCAGTTCAAAAGCGCATCAAAGAAGAATGCCTTGCTACACGATACGTCCGCACCGTGCTTGTCGCGAGCGTGGCGACGATGACAGCAGCCCAATGAAGGCCGACACCAAAGGAAACAAGAATATCTCCTTGGCCGATGCGCACGACTCCAACCAGCTCGAGGACATGACGTGGCAGCCCAAGCGCCAAGCACTCGAGCCCGAGATGGATGAGTGTCTTTTGAGCGACACTGCGTCTTCGTGCTCCCACGCGTCCTATGTGACGCTCCGAGAAGAGCCGCGACGACGATCGTGTTCCCAGCGCTCGGTGACGCTAATTGCATTTGCGCCCATCGATTGGACGTCGCCCCAGTGGACGCCAATGTCCTTCATCTCCTCAGTCGTCGAGTATCGGCCGTTCGAGGCCCCGCTGGCAACACGCTACACGCTCTTTTCCCGGCGCTTCCTAACGCTGCAGCCGATGCTAACACGCCGCGACGTCCTGCAAGGATACGACTCGTGGCTAGATTTCTCAGGCTAGTACCATCAAATCGAAATGTTTTAGTTAGAATTTAAGATGCGACCGGTTTCTTCGCACGAAGTGTCGCGAGCATACTCTCTTCCCAGTCTTCCCACTGCTCGTTTTCGTTTTCCAGAAGGAGGCGTTGGCGCTTCTGGTGCAAGAACGGGTACGCGCACACGAGACCGATGATTGCAAGCACTGGCAGACCTTCGACAGGACACGCAAAGGAGAAGAAGAGCGCCATGAGACCCATGGTCGGCCAGAACGAGTGGAGCTCGACCTTGGCATGAATTATCTTGCTCGTCTCCATGAAGGCGAGTCGCTTGACGTCCTTCGTTGTAGGGTTTTCGATTGCATCAAGCGCCGACGTGTCGATGGTCTTGGGAGCATACAGGAAGCGCGGCGCGCAGTCGATCCACTCGCCCGCGTACAAGACACCAAGACCAAAGGCACCGACGACGAGGTTGAGCGTCATACTTGAGGCAAATGGCAAACTGAGTGTGATTGCACATATGTGTTTTGAGAGGTTCTGTGTCGCACCAACCGAACGGCACCAAATTTTGATGTCGCGCACATGTACATGTACTGCAGAAAGTTCGCGCAGGAATCGCCTTGACTACCAGTATACCAAGAGGATACTATGGACAACAATTAACTATTTTGATCGTATATCTATTTCACTATGGCCCTGTTCTGCACTTCAGCCTGCAGACAGGGCCATAGTGAAATAGGTCAACCAGCGGCGAATCCTGATTATCCAACGAAGGATGAGTTGTCTGGTCGGATGGTTTTTATGAATGCCGCTGAATATACGTTGTGAGAGGTCGCGGCAGAGCACAGACAATGCGCTGCAGTAGTATTTCGCAACAAGCTGGACATGACTACGTGGACCGGATTCTTGACCATCGTCGTGCTCGGCGGCAGCCTCTTCCTCATGCTTGTGGCCCCGTACTTCATTGCCAAGATGCAACCGGCCCTGCCAGTTGACTGCGGCGACATCCACGCCCCGCACGCCAAGCGACTCGCCAAGCAGCACGTCAAGCGGCTATGGCGCACTTACTTTTTTCACTGCGACCGCCTCAACCGCCACATGCAGAGCTTCACGTTCATCTGCCTCTTGAGCAATAACGTGTCCGTAGCCGAAATCCCGGACGTTGTGATGATCTCCATCATGGTCGGCGTCCTTGCGCACGCGTGGTACGGCTGCGACCACGCCGTGAGCCAAAAACGGGCCGACCACGAACGCGAGCAGTGGGCAAAGCACCTCGAACATGTCAAAGAGAACAAGCGCAGTGGCAAATAGGGTCTATTGTACTTGAGTAATGTACTGATTGCCATGGAACTGTGGCACATTAGTCTTGGGACATCCCCTGCCCAAACCACAACATTCATCATCGTTCAAGGAGCTCTGCATCGAGCAAGTCGCGTTTGCGGGCTTGATGACTGGACTACAATGTCTCGACCAAGTAAGTTGTGGCGGGGAAAAGCGCTGCATTGCCGAACGACAACCACTACGACGACTCAAAGGGTGGCGACAAGAACGGGACCAAGGCGGCCACCCAAGGCAGTTCGGACGTTGGCGCTTGCACGCTCTTGTCGCGCAGTGGCACTGACCGGAGGCGGCAACACGTCACGTGGGCCTCGTACAGGCGCTCGGCAATTGGATCAGCGCGTGTTAACTTTGGGCTCACGACAACCCGCGACATGGCCGCCGTGAGGTCGTCGCTCCTCGTGTTCGACTGTTTAAGTTTGGGGAAGAACCGCAGCACGTTGAACCACGGCTCGATTTCGGCAAGAATTTCTTGGGCTGCGGGAGCATGGCCCCGACGCACCAAGTACGTCATGGCGAGAAGAGCGCCACCTTCTGGCACAATGAGCTGGTACGCGTTGGTGTTCATTGCAGTCCAGAGAAGATCCTGTCCTTGAGCTGAGCAGAAAAATGAGTTGAGTGCCCGCCGGGGCATCATGTTGAACTGCGCGACGTAGTATTGGGCGACAAGCAACGCTTCGTAGCTCGAGACAGGCCC